ACTTTGCTGATCGCAAGGATCAAACATAACACAGAGCTGTGGAAAAAGCTCTAGAGTGAAGATCATGTGAGCTTGGCCAAATTCTACCAGATGGTCACGAAATACCAGTGAGTAGAGAGCTCGCTGGCAGCACTAGCCAGAAGTTCAATGCGGGGGGCCCCAGACAAGAGATAAGATTGCCGTTCAGATAAGCATAGGGGTCAAGATCGCAACGATAGGGATCATAACAAGTCCTAGAAGAAACAGAGGATATATAACCGTGGTGACATGCAACCTTTCCCATGGTATGTAGAATACACCCCCCCTCACTCAAGACATCGCCCACATCTACGAAGTGTCTTGAGAGGCGAAAAGACTGTTCGCTCCAAAAAGGATGAAGGGGGCTCCAGGTAGAAGAGATCTACAGAAAAATTGTTGGTACCACAGAGATGTCAGGCACAACATGAATGATTGCCGAGCCCTAAAAGATGCCATTGAAGACCTGATAAGAAGAGGCCACCTGAAAGAATTTGTTAAGGAAAAACCGGCTTGCGAAAACCTTGGTGAGCAAAGTAGTCAAGCCCCAGGACAGGTTCAGGTTCCAGCTTAACAGGCTCAACCAAATCCCAAAGAAGTCTTCGTGAACATGATCTACTGAGGGCTCGACATAGCGGGGAGCTCAAGACAGGCTCGCGAGTAGTATGCTAGGGAAACAAGGACGAACTCAGTTGCCCGAATAATAAGCTACGAAAGAAAGCCACCTAAGCAGCCCAAACAGGAAAGCGAGGTAGTAGGGTACACAGTTGATGAGTGCGAAACATCCTCATGTCATAATCATGACGCTATTGTAATCGTGGCTAGGATCGACAATGCAAGAGTGTTAAGGGTCATGGTCAACAACAGGAGCGCGACAAACATCATATTTTTGGGAGCTTTCCAAGGAATGAGATTCACAAAAAATGAACCTGCGAGCGTTCCCCTCGTCGCTCTATGGATTCACCAGGGACAACCTGGTTCCCAAAGGTACTATCAACCTTCTCGTAACTCTGGGGGCAGAATCAAAGGTCAGAACAGTGATGGCCAAATTCTTAGTGGTGGACTGCTCGACCACATACAATGTCATCCTTGAAAGGCCAATCCTAGATGATTTAAGCGCAGTCACATCAGTGCGCTGCCAAGCGATGAGATTTTCGACTTCCGGGGGAGTCGTGATGATCAGGAGTTGCACCAAAGAATCTTGAGAATGCTATAATCGGGCTATAAACACCGCACAAAAATGGCCGCACCCAAAGACAATGATCATCGCAAAATCCAAGCCGAACCCCGTGCCGCTAGAGGATACTATAGATCCTTGTATCCACAAAGAAGAGCCTGCAGTGGGATCGACCGAAATTTTGTGTTACAATCATTTGACTCTCATTTAAATGGACGAGTCTAATTATATGGTCATAGGAAAAGTGAAATTAATTTAAGTTAATATAAATCTTTGATTTAGGAAGATGAATCATACGTAGGGGTGAAAATTGAGTCAAGCCGCTCACGAGCTACTCGAACTCGACTCGATGTTGGCTCAAACTCGACTCGGCATTAGTCGAGTTCGAGTAATTAATCGAGTCGAGTTCGATCACAGTAGAACTCGACTCAATATGTTCGCGAGTATTTCTAAGCTTAATAATTAAGTTGATAGTTTTTAAAACTCGATTTCCAATTTTAAAGTTCGAACGTCATTTCTTAGGCTCGATCAAACTCAAACTCGGTACTATAACAATCAAGTCGAGTTCGATTTACCAGATACTAAACTCAATTTCATCCCTAATCATACGTGAATTATGATGATGGTTGTACAGTGATAATAAAAAAAATTATGGTCACATTGATGATAATAGTAATGAAAGACAATAATGTTGTATCATAATAATACAGGTAAATAATAATTGTTATATATCAGATAAAGATGGTAACAATTTCGTTGTCAAATATAAACATCACTCAAAAGAATAAAACAAAAAACAAAAAAATTAAAAAAAAAAATAAAATTTAAAAAAGAAAATAAATTTTAAAAAAAAAAAAAAATAAAAAATAAAAAAAAAAATTAAAAAAATTTATTAAAAAAATCAAAAAAAAAAATTAAAAAAAAAAAATAAAAAATTAAAAAAAGAATAAAATAACCAAATAAAAAATAAAAAAAAAAAAATAAAAAAAAAAAATTATAAAATTGAATTGTAAATCAATCTTTATTATTAAATTTTAGCCATGTATGAAATCAAATCTCTAATAAATTAATAAATCTTTAGAAATTAGATATTGAGTTGCGTGTATCTAGTCAAAGGATTAATGGCTGCAGTATTTCCACCAATTTATAATTTAGTTTTCTATGCTTTTTCTCTAATTAATTGCTCAAAGAACAGCAAAAAGTGCAACCCCAAAAATCCGACCTATGTATTAATGACACTTGTCAATCTCCTGTTGTTCGTCCTTGGTGACGGAAGAAATTAGAATACGGTCGGTGGCTTGGCGGCCGCCGGCCAGGGATGATTTGGTCATTCAAGGTCTGCGCCTACCCTTGCCCACATGCGCGGAGCCTCTCACATTCCCGTCTGTCGTCGATGTTACAACATTTCCATGTTAAACTTTCTTAAATACATTCAATCCCACTCAATCCAAACCGTCGTTGATAGCATCATGGACATGTGTCATATTCCAAAATGGTAATCAAGTCTTTAAATGAATCATGATTCTTATTAACTCTGATGTTGACATGGGAGCACGGACTGATGCAGTGAAATAGATGTAAGTGGCTGTACGGTAACATCTCTATCCGCAAATACTTTGGCTAAAATATTTACGGGCCAGCAAATGGTGGGCGGATTTCAGATTGTGTTGTCATGAAAGAATTTAATATTTTTTTGGTCGGAAAGTATGTTACATCCTAAGTAATATACAGTTCCATATTTACCCCTACGTGAAACTCAATTTGTATTGAATACGGTTCCTTTCATTGTGCGATGGTAGGGTGTTATTGTGAAAAACATTTTAAAAGAATTTTTTAATTTGTTTTATTTTTATTTTCAATGATAAAAGAATTTGACAATATCTTTTAAAGATAAAAAGAGATTCAAATATCTTTTAGAAAAAGAAAAATATTTTTATAAAAAATGATCTTTAAACAAACGCTATATAATTTCTCAATTATTCATTGATTAGGTTTTTTTATTTATATAAAAAAAAAATTAAACACCTATCATTGGTTTTTAATTTAATTATAATTGATTACATGATCTGATGATTTTGAACAAAAAGATTAACACAATTTAATCACAATTCATTACATGTTGATCAATATAAAATTAACTTAATTAAGTTGCTTTTGAAATGGGTAAAGTAGTTTTAATACGCACTTAATGACATGAACTTTGATTAAAGAGAATACATACTCATTTATTTTCTTTAATAATTCTATATATATATATAACAATTGTCTAATTCCGTAAATAACAGAAAAACTCTGTCGAAATGCAAAACAAAAAACACGAAATGACATAATTTGTCCCTTAAATCTCTGTCTGATGTCGGTTTTAGTGCAAAAGCGCACTGTTTGTGGCAACCACGAATGTCCAACCAGTCCTCTCTCTTCTTTGGACCCCAGCTGACCAGTAAGAACTTAGAGAGAGAAAGCTTGTACGTTATTTTTGTATATATAAACTTCACATCTCATTTTTTAGAGAGAGAAGATCAAAACCAGAAACTGAAAAGCTTTTTCCAAATTGCAAATCCTCAAACTCATTAACTCTTTGTTTTCTTCTCAGTATCGTTTTCTTGTCAGCTTAAGTACTTTATCCCGCTTTTTCTTCTCATTATTTTGGTCTGGAAATTGCCGTTGGAACTCCTAAAGCTACCGGTCTTGGTCTCGCCGATCTGACTCACTGAGTTCGTCTTTTCGGAACTCCGTCATTTCGTCGATGAGTTAGAGAAGAAGATCGATACAACGCAATTGTCATGGTAATTTTGAACAAAGTTGTTAGTTATTGTGTTTGATTGATTTGTTTAGTTTGATCAGTTTGTAATTGATGTTTGTATTGTAAAGTTGTTTTTGAGTTGGAGAATGATATTGAACTTTGACGATCATTAAGGTATTCTATTGTTGATGGTTTAGTAATTGAATTTTGAATATAGAGGATCGCATAAATGAAAGCTTGTAAAGATTTTGTCATTGTGGATATCAGCTATTAAGAATATAATTAAATGTTTAACAGATGATAAAACTAAAACACTCGGAACGATTTTTCATTGGTGTTTATTGTGGAGTGCCATGTTCTTGCGAATTTAATTTTTGTTCCATGATATTGTTCATTGATGGTGAGAGTATTTCCCGTTAATTTATATTTTATAGCTGTAGATGTCGACATTAGGGGAGTGGGGGATCTGTTTTACTGTAATTTTGGCTAGTTGACTCGAAAGTCAATGGTTGAGACGCGGGCAGAGGATGTAATGGTAATGTCTGCTCAAGTGTAGCTAGACTCCTCCATCACTGTTGCTGGCTATTCATTTTTCAGTATAAATCTTTATAGGTCAGAAGTATAGTTAATTGCTACAACTTACCGTCTTGAATTACATTAGATGCAAGGCATTTTACTAAACTGGTTATGAGTAATGATTTGTGTTCTCATCAACAAGCTCCAGCTATAGATCATTGTTATTGTATTATTCCTATAGAATATCTCCAACAGTTCGTTTTCTGCTGAAGTATTGTTAAGTTATTTTATCATACCCTTGGTTTTAATTTTCATATCTTCATGATATTTTTGAGATATCTAAATATTATACTTAAATTGTGTCAATCATAGTAAATTTCACCCCACTATGCATTCGGGGTGTAGTATTTTTATCACATTTTGATTGAATTTTTGATGCCGTTCTTGATGCTTTCATTGACTGCTTTTTGTGCATACATTTTGTTGAATAATTGTTAATTATTATAGTATTCTTAAGCTACTTTCATTGACGATTATGCATTAATCTTTTTGCAGGCTGCACCAGTTAACATTATTGTGGGCTCTCATGTATGGGTTGAAGATCCGGTGGAGGCATGGATTGATGGAGAGGTTTTTAAAATCAATGGTGAAGAAGTTCATGTTCAAGCAACAAATGGAAAAACAGTAAGTTGACCCTAGCTTAACTTTTTCTGTATGTTTTTGTTTCTTATGTACTTATGAAACGCATCAGCATGTTAGTATATACGTTAGTAGCAAAGGGTGAAAAAGTACGTGCCTTTGTCTGCATGTGTATAAATTTACCGGCTTTAGCGTAGATTATATTAACCAAATTCTAATGCAGGCAATTTTTAGTACTCAGTAACTTTGGAAATTATCTATTTTAAAGTTTGTCTCTGAAGCTTTATTAGTCATTCCAAAGGAAACGTTGATGTTTACACTAAATATAGTTTTGACTTCCTATCTTAATCATCTTATCATAATAATTCTATGTCCCTCTGACTGGAAAAATCATGGCAGGTTGTCGCAGATATCTCAAAAGTATTTCCAAAAGATACTGAAGCATCACCTGGAGGTGTAGATGACATGACAAAGCTATCGTATTTGCATGAACCAGGGGTTCTGCATAACTTGGCTACGAGATATGAACTTAACGAGATCTATGTAAGATTGATTTTCAGTTTTCCGTTTCATGATCTAACATGGTCAAACCCAGTTTGATTCAAGAAAATTGCAGATATAACTGAAGTGTTATTTTTATTTTTTCGGCTGAAGTACTATTTGATATTTTTCTCAGACTTACACTGGCAATATCCTGATTGCCATAAACCCATTTCAAAGATTGCCACATTTGTATGATACTCACATGATGGAACAATATAAAGGAGCCCAATTCGGAGAGCTTAGTCCTCATGTTTTTGCTGTAGCCGATGTTGCATATAGGTAAATTTCCATCTCCATTTGACATCACAGTTTTCCAGTCATACTTTCTCTAATTGTTCCCTATATTAATAGGGCAATGATTAATGAGGGAAGGAGCAACTCGATTTTGGTTAGTGGAGAAAGTGGTGCCGGTAAGACCGAGACAACAAAGATGCTCATGAGATATCTTGCTTACCTGGGTGGCCGATCTGGAGTAGAGGGACGAACAGTTGAACAACAAGTTCTGGAAGTAAGTTGAAGATATCTTTCTTCTTAGCTTTTTATATATTTTCTGCAACATTTGTTCTATAGCTTCCTAACATTACAAGGTTGGGAATATTTTGTCTAAGTCGATGCTCTTGGTTATTGATCTAACAGTCAAATCCAGTTCTTGAAGCTTTTGGCAATGCCAAAACTGTTAGGAACAACAACTCAAGGTGAGTGTGTGATAACTGAAGGTTTGTTATTTTAAGGTGTCCGTTCTGTTATTTTTTGCTTATCTCAGTATTCTTTTTGTTACCTTGGTTGTAGTCGATTTGGTAAATTTGTTGAGCTTCAATTTGACAAAAATGGGAGGATATCTGGGGCAGCTGTACGGACTTACTTACTTGAAAGGTCTCGTGTCTGCCAAGTTCAGATCCTGAAAGAAACTATCATTGCTTTTACCTTCTCTGTGCAGCGCCACCTGAGGTATTGATGGTGTACCAATATGTGCTCTTCTTGTTTATATGCCAATCCTCATGCAAATTTAGGACTGCCTGTGCTTGTTAGTTATAATTTATAATTGATTATTGTCTCTCTAAATTTTGCAGGTTAGAGAAAAGTATAAGTTGGATCACCCTAAAACATTCCATTACTTGAATCAATCCAACTGTTACAAGCTGGATGGAGTGGATGATACCGAGGAATATCTTGCAACTAGAAGGGCTATGGATGTAGTTGGAATCAGTGAGGAAGAACAGGTTTGTACTTCTGTTGAATTTCGGGAAATAGTGTTCTTGCCACTATATTCAAATTTTTTGATGAGGAATAATTCTTTTCAGGAGGGAATTTTTAGGGTTGTAGCTGCAATTCTGCATCTTGGAAATATTGACTTTGCAAAGGGAGAGGAGGTTGACTCTTCTGTCATCAAGGATGAAAAATCTAGGTTCCATCTTAATACGACAGCTGAACTGCTAAGGTATGATCAATATGTTCTTAATATGCAGGATGGATCTTCTGATCTCATGTTCTTTTGTTTTTTAGTTATATGCCTGTTTTACTTTATGTGGTACCATAGGTGTGATGCCAAGAGCTTGGAGGATGCACTGATAAAACGTGTAATGGTAACACCGGAAGAGGTTATCACAAGAACCCTTGATCGTGGTTCTGCCGCGGGTAGCAGGGATGCCTTAGCTAAAACCATTTATTCTCGCTTGTTTGATTGGTATGGGAACTTCCTTAGCTCTGGGCACTTGTTTGTGTCTTGTGTCCACTTTTAGATTTTTATCAGAAATGGATTAATCATAAATACTTATCAAGAGGAGTAGAACTGTTATTTAATCCAATTAATTTGTACCTTATATCATGTTTCTTAAGTATTTGATGTTGTTAACAAGGTGTTTTTTGTTTTTAACTTTTTATGTATATGTATTGATAGGCTTGTAGATAAGATTAACTCTTCGATTGGGCAAGATCCAAACTCAAAATCATTAATTGGAGTTCTTGATATTTACGGGTTTGAAAGTTTCAAGTTTAATAGGTAAGAAAATTGACTTTAAATTTTACTCTCTTATAAAATATTTGCCATTGCAGCTAACAGATTTCTGTATTAATAGTTTTGAGCAGTTCTGTATCAATTTTACCAATGAAAAACTACAGCAACATTTCAATCAGGTTTAGTGCCTTTTGACATAGTTCTTGCCGTGTATTCTGGATACTATTTCTAGCCTTTCTTAATTTGGATGTATGGTAATTTGCAGCACGTCTTTAAGATGGAACAAGAAGAATATACAAAAGAAGAAATCAATTGGAGCTACATAGAATTTGTTGATAACCAAGATGTGTTGGATCTGATTGAGAAGGTGAGTTTTTTCTGCTTGCTGAGCTGTTTGAAATTTGTATCATTTATATATTATCTGATGGATAATATGTGCTTGAAAAACGATTTTCTCAAACTCTTATGCATCATTTCAGATAATCATGAATTACTGTTCTACTTTTGCAGAAACCTGGAGGGATTATAGCACTTCTAGATGAAGCCTGGTATGCAGCTGTTGTTTGACTCAGCTTGATATATCATTCCTTTCTAAGTTTTATGTAGTCTGAGTACCTATAGATTTTTTTTTTTTTTTTAAAAAAAGTGTGTGGGTGTAAGAGATATATTCTGCTTAATAATGAATATACGAAACCTTACACTGCTGGTTATTCTTCTGTAATTCAATTTATTTATTTTTGTTTCCTTATGTGTTTATTTGCTTCACACAGTATGTTTCCTAAATCTACACATGAAACATTTGCTCAGAAGTTGTACCAGACATTCAAAAACAACAAGCGGTTTATTAAACCTAAGCTATCTCGTACTAGTTTCACCATATCTCACTATGCGGGGGAGGTAAATATGTATACCTCTATTATATTTTATTTTGTTTTTAATTTTTTTTCTCTATGTAGTGGAGCATTTGCTAATTTGTTTGCTAATAATTTTTCAGGTTACTTATCTGGCTGATTTATTCCTTGACAAAAATAAAGATTATGTAGTGGCAGAACATCAGGTTCTGTTGACAGCCTCAAAGTGCCCTTTTGCAGCAGGTCTATTTCCTCCACTTCCAGAGGAGTCATCTAAATCATCCAAATTTTCTTCCATTGGGTCACGCTTTAAGGTATGTATTGTTTATTTGTTTCCTAAGTTTCTTTTGCTGGAAGAAATGCAATTTCTTCTTTTGCTGAAGGGTTGAGATACAAATAGTTGCTCCAATTTCCTCTGTAGATTTATGGTGAACGGTATCATTAATGTGACTATAAATCTTGAACAATGATATTGTCAAAAATGGACTTGTTTTCCCGGCATTATTCATTTTTGCTGGAGTAAAGTGACTTAGCTCACATGGTTCATTTTCAAATTGTTGAGCCAGATAAATCAAATTAATTTTTGATTCTCTATAATACTTATAGATAATGCAGTACACTCTTCGTGCATAGGCAGTTACAAGTTTAGTTGATTAACTAATATTCAGCAATTGGCTCTTCAGGCATAGGCAATTACAAAATTTAGTTGATTTACTAATATTCAGCAATTGGCTCTTCTTGCCTAGGCAATTACAATTTTAGTTGATTAACTAATATGGAGCCATTGACTCTTCTTGTTTTGGCAATTATGAGTTTAGTTGATTAACTAATATGCGCCTTTGGCATTATTCAATCAAGACTTCTGGAGGTTTTTTGTTTTAAACTTAGTTCTGTTTTGATAACTTTTTTGTTCTAACATGTGAGATGTGTTTGCAAAACTGCAGCTACAACTTCAATCTTTGATGGAAACCTTGAATTCAACAGAACCTCACTATATCAGATGTGTGAAGCCTAACAATGTCCTCAAGCCTACAATTTTTGAGAATGCCAACATAATTCAGCAATTACGATGTGGAGTGAGTACAGTGTCCCTGCAGTGTATTAAATATTTGTCGCTTTATAATTTGTCAGACTACAAAACTTGACTTTCATACTTATGGTTCCAGAAGTTTTATTAAGTTTTCTGTCTTTTCTTTATTTAGGGTGTCCTTGAGGCAATTAGGATCAGTTGTGCTGGTTATCCTACAAGACGAACATTTTATGAGTTTCTACACCGTTTTGGTGTTCTTGCTCCAGAAGTTCTAGAAGGAAAGTAAGTTGTACCTTCTTTTCTTTTCTAGTTGTTAGAACTTCAGGATTAAGATAGATTTATATTTTCAGTTGCTTAGCTGCTTAGCATATAAATAACGTGACATTGCTTGTGCATTCTTCTTTCTGCTTCCCTCCTACATTTTTTTTTTTTTTTTATGTATTCTGTTATTGTTATTTTATGAAAAATTGCTCAATTTTCCCTGTACAGCTATGATGAGAAGGTCGCGTGCCAAAAGATTCTGGACAAAATGGGATTGCAAGGTTATCAGGTAACATAAATATCTCTTTGTTACTTGTCATACTGATCATGCAAATAGGAATTTACTATTTTGTTGAAGAAGGGTGGTGGTGTTGGTGTTTGATAAGGTAAGGCCTGTGCTATTTTAATAAGAATCTCATTCCTGTTATGGTTGCGCCATGGGAGGCTGTGGTGAGATAAATGTGGAAAGGTGTAAAGGCTAAAATGCGTCTGGTTGAGTTAAGTTTTCTTGTTAACCTGAGTGACTGTATGCTGATTTGTTCATTTAACTGATACTTGTGGCTGATTTGCTGTGCTACACTTCAATGGTGGTGCCAAACACGAACAGCAGGCATTCTTGAATGGCAGCAATCATTTGTAACTGATTTCCCTACTTAATAGCTTCTCGAGTTTAAAGTAATACTGAGGTTTTTCAAGTTAGGTTGTTGAAGGAAAGTCTTTTCTTTGGTCTGTGCAAAATTTGGATTAAATGCAAAAGCATAAACTTTATACTTGTGGCAGAGTGTTCCAAGGTGGGATGACTCGGTCTCAAGCTCTTCCTGAATCTATGAATGACTGCTATTGTCTTCTCCAGTGATGGAACTCTAGCCCCCTCTGAAAAAGGGCTGGTTGGGATGGGAATCCTGACTGAATTTTATCTGCTTTCAGTAACGCTACTTGCTTTGGAGCTTGACTGGAATTTTTAACTTTGATGTTAATTAGTTGTCTAGTCTTCAGAAATTGTGGAACTTGTAGCTAAAAGTTTCTGATAATTTATATATTTATTTTTTAGAATAAACTTCCTTATGAAAACGGTGATTATCTAATGCAGTTAACTGTTCAGGTCTATGATTTCTAATGACACACTGTTTAATATGATTGTCCTTCCAGATAGGCAAGGCAAAAGTGTTCCTAAGAGCTGGTCAGATGGCGGAGCTGGATGCAAGAAGAGCTGAGGTTTTGGGGAATGCGGCTCGAACCATCCAAAGGCAGATTCGTACTTACATTGCGAGGAAGGAGTTTATTGAGATTCGCAAAGCTGCTATTGTGTTGCAATCGCATTGGCGGGGTATTCTCTCATCTATTAAACTGTCTGTGTTTAATTTTTTATTTGAGTTGTATTATCAAAAGCTCATCTTTGTTTAGAAAAAAGCCATACCATTATTAGTGAAATAATAAATTGTAAGACTTCTGATGCTTTTAACATTAAATAATAAAAAGAACATAAATATATTAATGTTTGTGTAAACTACATCTGTTCCTTTATGGATGAATTGTCTTTTAGCTCATTAAAATTCGGATACAGATAATAACCCCTTCTTTTATTTCCAACCGTGGTTAGGCATATTGGCTTGCCAACTGTATGAGCAGTTGCGAAGGGAGGCTGCAGCCATGAAGATTCAGAAGAATTTCCGCAAATACACTGCCAGGAAATCTTACTTAACAGTAAGGTTGTCTGCAATCACATTGCAGACAGGATTAAGAGCAATGGTTGCTCGCAATGAATTTAGATTCAGAAAGCAAACAAAGGCTGCAATTATCATCGAGGTTCATCTTCTGAGTATTGTCTTTTAGTTTAGAAAAAGAAGTCATTTAACCTTTGTATGGACTTGCAAATTGGTTGCTTTGACTAACTGGAGAAAACTAATGATGTTTGTTGGTCACTTTCAGGCTTATCTGCGTCGCCACTTAGCATATTCTTATTATAAGAGTCTTAAGAAGGCTGCATTGGTTTCCCAATGTGGTTGGAGGCAAAGGGTTGCTCGTAGAGAGCTTAGAAAGCTCAAAATGGTTGGATCACATTTCTTGTCCTTGATTGATCTTGTTTTTGTGAAAATTTGTAATGCATCTTGCATTATGTAATCAGAATATGTTCAGGAGCTAACCATTTGTTTTAACTCATTTAGGCTGCAAGAGAAACAGGGGCCCTTAAAGAAGCAAAAGACAAACTAGAAAAGCGTGTGGAAGAACTTACATGGCGATTGCAGTTTGAGAAACAATTGAGGGTAATTACATAATTATTTTGTGAAATGCATTAAAGTCTAGTTGATCTATGACGGACACCATTACAGTATTACTTTTACATAATTTTTTATTTAGTTTTCATTTGTATTACAGACTAATTTAGAAGAGGAAAAAGCCCAAGAAATTGTTAAGTTACAGGATGCTTTGCATGCAATGCAACTACAAGTAGAAGAAGCAAATTCCAGGGTTCTGAAAGAACGAGAGGCTGCTCGAAAAGCTATTGAAGAGGCACCTCCTGTTATTAAGGAAACTCCTGTTATGATTCAAGACACAGAAAAGATCGAGTCATTAACGGCTGAGGTAGAGAGTTTGAAGGTATGCACTCAAACTTGGATGACCATGATAAAATCATATGCTCATGTGTATATTCTCCATTCATGATTTCAATCAATAGAAATAATGTTTTTTTTCTGCTACAACAACTAAACCTCATAGATGCTTCATTGAGTGGTTATGTTTCCATGCTGCGGCAGCAACTACAACTTTCATTCCACAAATTGGCACTATTAAATGTTGCATGTATATGGGAACACATGGAGTGCATAACAACTTTCAAAAACCAGAGTTATTTTTGCAGAAGTGTCTTTTTTAAATTAATTAATGTTTATTACTTTGTCTGCCTAGAATTCCATGCCAAAATATGACCATGCATCTTTTGGTGGTTTCTTTGTCTTCATGCATCCTATTTCAGAACATCTTGACTTTTGTAAATAGCATGCCTTGTGATATATTTGATCCCTGACTCTTAATGTGTGGTGGCTTTCTTATACACTTGTGTTTTGACTGTATTTTGGTTTATCGAGCTAATTAGCGTATCCATTATTTTATTTGGGTAGAATCTTTAAAAGAAATGTTGATAACAGCATTTTTTCGCTTATCATTCCTTAGTTTACTGGATATTAAATATAGGAGGTTTGGTGCATTTATTACTTATTCTTGATAGGAGGCCAAGACATTGAATTTGTGGAGTTAATTGCTTTTATGAACATTCATAATTTTGCAGGCTTTGCTTCTATCAGAAAGACAGGCAGCTGAAGAGGCCAGGAAGGCTTCCGCTGATGCTGAGGTCAGAAATGGGGAACTGGTTAAAAAACTTGTAGATGCAGAGCGAAAAGTGGATCACCTTCAAGAATCTGTCCAGAGGTTTGTAAATGCTTTATAAGATGAATGTTTGGATAGTATCATGTGATTTGAGCATATACACCATTCACTTATTGTTTAGCACCGTCCATTTGCTTCTATCGTGCTTAGAAGACAAGTGTGCTTCCCTCTCTCTTCTCTACATCATGTAGGCTTTTGAGTCATTGAAATTCACACTTGTGTGTTCATATATTCAGGCACGAAGAGAAACTTTCCAATTCAGAATCTGAGATTCAAGTGCTTCGTCAGCAGGCACTGACTATGTCACCAACAGGAAAATCTTTGTCTGCACGGTCCAAGACAATGATTATTCAGGTATAAATGCGATAAGGTTACTGCTGATCTTGCACTATATAATATACTAACTTATATAAATACACACTTATGAATTTGCAGAGGACTCCTGAGAATGGAAATGTTCAAAATGGAGAATTGAAAGTTGTGCCGGTAGGGGGACATTATTGTTTCTGAACATTCAATAAATTTATTATCAAATATTTTAGGAATCGAATTTGTTGTTACTTGTATTGCTTATTGTTTGCAACGTGTATTAGGAGATGACCGTTGCCTTGTCCCATTCACGCGAGCCTGAATCAGAGGAAAAGCCTCAAAAATCTCTAAATGAAAAGCAGCAGGTAAGTGGCCTATGACATGCATTTAAGAATATTCACTGATGATGCATTTGAAAAATTCTTATTTGACATTCCTTTCAGAGTGTCTATTTCTCATCATCTGACCATTCATATTCTAGTTCTAATTTTTTCTTGTAATCCTACTTTTTATGGATCAGGAAAACCAGGACTTGCTGATCAAGTGTGTGTCACAGAACCTGGGATTCTCTGGGGGCAAACCAGTAGCTGCTTGTGTCATATACAAATGTCTTCTTCACTGGAGGTCATTTGAAGTTGAAAGGACTACCGTTTTTGACCGTATCATTCAAACTATAGCTTCAGCCATAGAGGTAAGTCTTTTTTGTGGTCTCTAAATCCTCTTCTATTCAGTTATATTTTTTAGACTCCATATTCTGCTGTATTTGGTGTCAGCACAAGTGCTGGCATTACTATATATATAACTAATAATAGCATATCTACCTTATTGAAGGTCCAGGATAATAATGATGTCTTAGCATATTGGCTGTCTAATTCATCAACGTTATTGCTACTGCTCCAACACACTCTCAAAGCTACTGGTGCTGCTAGCTTGACTCCACAACGGCGAAGAACAACATCAGCTTCTCTTTTTGGGAGAATGTCTCAAGTAAGAGGAAACTTTTTTCCCTATACAAAGCACCTTTCCTGGTTTTTTTTTTACATTTGCCCCAATTTTCCTATACTCTTCTCATTTGTGTCAATTATAGGGGTTACGGGCATCTCCTCAAAGTGCTGGACTCTCATTTCTTAATGGTCGAGGACTTAGTAGATTGGATGACTTACGACAGGTTGAGGCCAAGTATCCTGCACTACTGTTTAAGCAGCAGCTCACTGCCTTCCTCGAAAAAATATATGGAATGATGAGGGACAATCTAAAGAAAGAGATCTCCCCACTACTAGGGTTATGTATTCAGGTCTGACTGAAGCTGACTCCCCCTTCTTTTTTTTCTTTTTCTTGAAAGGATAAAAATAGTGCATTGTATGTGTTGTTTCACCAATTGCAGAAAACCTATTCCCTTAGAGAGAAAAAAGAAATAATGCCTCTTAATTGTTGAATGATCACCAAGGAATTATAATTAACGCTTGTCTAGGATGTCCAAAACTGGACTTCTTTGTTGAAGCACCAAAACAGCAGAAAAAAATAGAAAATGAGGTATAATTTGAACGACATAAAACTAAACTGATATACAAAAGTTATAAAATAGGAGTAAATTTAGACTTAGTGAGTCAGTGCTATGCCACATGTTTTACCATGTGCAGAATTTATTTCTTTAGTGAAAGAAGAAAGAAAGAAGACCTTTAATTTGTTGAATCAGTAACAGCTTGTTTAGGACAACCCAAAACTGGACTTCTTTTTAGAAGCTGCAAATGCAGCAGAATGAGCACGATGCATAAACTTAAAAGAAGTAGAATAGACTTGTTATAGAAGATCCAAAAATAGCAATAAAATTAAACCTGTTGAGTCAGTACCAAGGAATTTAATGACAGCTTGTTTAGGATAAAGCAAAGCTAGACATTTGTGGGATCAGACAGCAAAGAAAGTAGACAATGAGGTATAATGAAGAAACCTCAAAACAGTTTTTTGTAGAACTCCAAACATGGCAGTAAAATAAGAAAATGAGGTAACAACAAAAACTAATTGGTTTATCGCTTCCTTGAAGCACCATACTGTTGATAAAGAAGAACAAAAACCAGCCTTTTTCTTTTTTCCTGGGTAGGAAACCTGAAGAACTCTCACGAGTTCCACTGAATACTTTAAAAAATTTTGATACCAGTGAATTTGTTAATTTTGTGTTCATTCTGCTCTGATCATGGCTTGAATATAATTGAAGGGGATAACAAGAAAAACCCTTTCATCGTTTTTAATATTTTATAAATGCAGGCACCCAGGACTTCACGGGCAAGTTTAGTTAAAGGACGTTCACAAGCTAATGCAGTTGCCCAGCAAGCTTTAATTGCTCATTGGCAAAGCATAGTCAAAAGCTTGAATAATTATTTGAAGATTATGAAAGCGAACTATGTGAGTACCTAGTTTCACAGAAATATTTCACATTTTGTAATCTTTTACCTATCAAAATAAAATCATTTGTGTTTCATTTTGGCTTTACAGGTACCTCCTTTCTTAGTCCGTAAGGTGTTCACTCAAATATTCTCATTCATAAATGTTCAGCTATTCAACAGGTTTGTTCTCTATCTCTCTCACTCTGTATCTGTGTCTCTACTTTTTTATTTTGAGGTACTTACTAATTTAAACACTTCCACGGCATCTATTCATGCATATCTGCAGTCTTCTTCTGAGGCGTGAGTGTTGCTCATTCAGTAATGGGGAGTACGTAAAAGCAGGTTTGGCTGAATTAGAACAGTGGTGTTATGTGGCCACTGAAGAAGTAAGCACCATGATCATGTGTGGCCTTTAGTTTCCTCCATCATTTTTAATGCCTGACCCTGAAGTTTTCTTGTGGACAGTATGCGGGTTCTGCGTGGGATGAGTTGAAGCATATTAGGCAGGCTGTAGGGTTCCTAGTAAGATTCATTTGCATAGCTTCACTCGTTCAATTGAAGCAGATTATTATGATTTTAATTTGCTGACTTTATTCTTCTTTCATTTTCTTTACAACTCAGGTCATACATCAAAAGCCCAAAAAGACTCTGAATGAAATAACAAAAGAACTTTGCCCCGTTAGTGCCTCTACTCCTTTGAGCTACTCAAGATATCTTCTTAGATTTATCCTTTTTCCAATTTTTATGTTTTACATTATTTTTATATTTATATTTGTTTTTTCTTCAGGTTCTCAGCATACAACAGTTGTACAGGATCAGTACAATGTACTGGGATGACAAATATGGCACACACAGTGTGTCTTCAGAGGTAAGTAACTGAAGTCAGTTCTGACAATTGACGATTGTTTGGCCTATGACTTTGAAATAGTGTTAGAACTTCTTTCGCATTCACATTTTCATATGTGGTTCCTGCTTTACATGTATGAGGTAATTTGGTTAATGAAGCTCTTCGTGATACAGGTTATTTCAAGTATGAGAGTCCTAATGACCGAGGGACAGGCAGCTGAAGAGGCCAGGAAGGCTTCCGCTGATGCTGAGGTCAGAAATGTGGAACTGGTTAAGAAACTTGAAGATGCAGAGCGAAAAGTGGATCACCTTCAAGAATCTGTCCAGAGGTTTGTAAATGCTTTATCAGATGAATGTTTGGATAGTATCATATGATTTGAGCATATACACTGTTCACTTATTGTTTAGCACCGTCCATTTGCTTCTATCGTGCTTAGAAGACAAGTGTGCTACCCTCTCTCTTCTCTACATCATGTAGGCTTTTGGTGTGCTTTTGAGTCATTGAAATTCACACTTGTGTATTCATATATTCAGGCACGAAGAGAAACTTTCCAATTCAGAATCTGAGATTCAAGTACTTCGTCAGCAGGCACTGACTATGTCACCAACAGGAAAATCTTTGTCTGCACGGTCCAAGACAATGATTATTCAGGTATAAATGCGATAAGGTTACTGCTGATCTTGCACTATATAATATACTAACTTATATAAATACTCACTTATGAATTTGCAGAGGACTCCTGAGAATGGAAATGTTCAAAATGGAGAATTGAAAGTTGTGCCGGTAGGGGGACATTATTGTTTCTGAGCATTCAATAAATTTATTATCAAATATTTTAGGAATGGAATTTGTTGTTACTTGTATTGCTTATTGTTTGCAACGTGTATTAGGAGATGACTGTTGCCTTGTCCCATTCACGCGAGCCTGAATCAGAGGAAAAGCCTCAAAAATCTCTAAATGAAAAGCAGCAGGTAAGTGGCCTATGACATGCATTTAAGAATATTCACTGATGATGCATTTGAAAAATTCTTATTTGACATTCCTTTCAGAGTGTCTATTTCTCATCATCTGACCATTCATATTCTAGTTCTAATTTTTTCTTGTAATCCTACTTTTTATGGATCAGGAAAACCAGGACTTGCTGATCAAGTGTGTGTCACAGAACCTGGGATTCTCTGGGGGCAAACCAGTAGCTGCTTGTGTCATATACAAATGTCTTCTTCACTGGAGGTCATTTGAAGTTGAAAGGACTACCGTTTTTGACCGTATCATTCAAACTATAGCTTCAGCCATAGAGGTAAGTCTTTTTTGTGGTCTCTAAATCCTCTTCTATTCAGTTATATTTTTTTGACTCCATATTCTGCTGTATTTGGTGTCAGCACAAGTGCTGGCATTACTATATATATAACTAATAATAGCATATCTACCTTATTGAAGGTCCAGGATAATAATGATGTCTTAGCATATTGGCTGTCTAATTCATCAACGTTATTGCTACTGCTCCAACACACTCTCAAAGCTACTGGTGCTGCTAGCTTGACTCCACAACGGCGAAGAACAACATCAGCTTCTCTTTTTGGGAGAATGTCTCAAGTAAGAGGAAACTTTTTTCCCTATACAAAGCACCTTTCTGGTTTTTTTTTAACATTTGCCCCAATTTTCCTATACTCTTCTCACTTGTGTCAATTATAGGGGTTACGGGCATCTCCTCAAAGTGCTGGACTCTCATTTCTTAATGGTCGAGGACTTAGTAGATTGGATGACTTACGACAGGTTGAGGCCAAGTATCCTGCACTACTGTTTAAGCAGCAGCTCACTGCCTTCCTTGAAAAAATATATGGAATGATGAGGGACAATCTAAAGAAAGAGATCTCCCCACTACTAGGGTTATGTATTCAGGTCTGACTGAAGCTGACTCCCCCTTCCTTTTTTTCTTTTTCTTGAAAGGATAAAAATAGTGCATTGTATGTGTTGTTTCACCAATTGCAGAAAACCTATTCCCTTAGAGAGAAAAAAGAAATAATGCCTCTTAATTGTTGAATGATCACCAAGGAATTATAATTAACGCTTGTCTAGGATGTCCAAAACTGGACTTCTTTGTTGAAGCACCAAAACAGCAGAAAAAAATAGAAAATGAGGTATAATTTGAACGACATAAAACTAAACTGATATACAAAAGTTATAAAATAGGAGTAAATTTAGACTTAGTGAGTCAGTGCTATGCCACATGTTTTACCATGTGCAGAATTTATTTCTTTAGTGAAAGAAGAAAGAAAGAAGACCTTTAATTTGTTGAATCAGTAACAGCTTGTTTAGGACAACCCAAAACTGGACTTCTTTTTAGAAGCTGCAAATGCAGCAGAATGAGCACGATGCATAAACTTAAAAGAAGTAGAATAGACTTGTTATAGAAGATCCAAAAATAGCAATAAAATTAAACCTGTTGAGTCAGTACCAAGGAATTTAATGACAGCTTGTTTAGGATAAAGCAAAGCTAGACATTTGTGGGATCAGACAGCAAAGAAAGTAGACAATGAGGTATAATGAAGAAACCTCAAAACAGTTTTTTGTAGAACTCCAAACATGGCAGTAAAATAAGAAAATGAGGTAACAACAAAAACTAATTGGTTTATCGCTTCCTTGAAGCACCATACTGTTGATAAAGAAGAACAAAAACCAGCCTTTTTCTTTTTTCCTGGGTAGGAAACCTGAAGAACTCTCACGAGTTCCACTGAATACTTTAAAAAATTTTGATACCAGTGAATTTGTTAATTTTGTGTTCATTCTGCTCTGATCATGGCTTGAATATAATTGAAGGGGATAACAAGAAAAACCCTTTCATCGTTTTTAATATTTTATAAATGCAGGCACCCAGGACTTCACGGGCAAGTTTAGTTAAAGGACGTTCACAAGCTAATGCAGTTGCCCAGCAAGCTTTAATTGCTCATTGGCAAAGCATAGTCAAAAGCTTGAATAATTATTTGAAGATTATGAAAGCGAACTATGTGAGTACCTAGTTTCACAGAAATATTTCACATTTTGTAATCTTTTACCTATCAAAATAAAATCATTTGTGTTTCATTTTGGCTTTACAGGTACCTCCTTTCTTAGTCCGTAAGGTGTTCACTCAAATATTCTCATTCATAAATGTTCAGCTATTCAACAGGTTTGTTCTCTATCTCTCTCACTCTGTATCTGTGTCTCTACTTTTTTATTTTGAGGTACTTACTAATTTAAACACTTCCACGGCATCTATTCATGCATATCTGCAGTCTTCTTCTGAGGCGTGAGTGTTGCTCATTCAGTAATGGGGAGTACGTAAAAGCAGGTTTGGCTGAATTAGAACAGTGGTGTTATGTGGCCACTGAAGAAGTAAGCACCATGATCATGTGTGGCCTTTAGTTTCCTCCATCATTTTTAATGCCTGACCCTGAAGTTTTCTTGTGGACAGTATGCGGGTTCTGCGTGGGATGAGTTGAAGCATATTAGGCAGGCTGTAGGGTTCCTAGTAAGATTCATTTGCATAGCTTCACTCGTTCAATTGAAGCAGATTATTATGATTTTAATTTGCTGACTTTATTCTTCTTTCATTTTCTTTACAACTCAGGTCATACATCAAAAGCCCAAAAAGACTCTGAATGAAATAACAAAAGAACTTTGCCCCGTTAGTGCCTCTACTCCTTTGAGCTACTCAAGATATCTTCTTAGATTTATCCTTTTTCCAATTTTTATGTTTTACATTATTTTTATATTTATATTTGTTTTTTCTTCAGGTTCTCAGCATACAACAGTTGTACAGGATCAGTACAATGTACTGGGATGACAAATATGGCACACACAGTGTGTCTTCAGAGGTAAGTAACTGAAGTCAGTTCTGACAATTGACGATTGTTTGGCCTATGACTTTGAAATAGTGTTAGAACTTCTTTCGCATTCACATTTTCATATGTGATTCCTGCTTTACATGTATGAGGTAATTTGGTTAATGAAGCTCTTCGTGATACAGGTTATTTCAAGTATGAGAGTCCTAATGACCGAGGACTCAAACAATGCTGTAAGCAGTTCTTTCCTATTAGATGATGACTCGAGGTAATAATACCTTCCTAACATAGCTGTTCTTGTTACAATTTTGACTTTGTTCAGCAATACAATATGTTGTTGATTTTGCTTACAATTTAAATCTCAATGCAGCATCCCCTTTACGGTTGATGACATTTCCAAGTCCTTGCAACAAGTGGACATAGCTGAAGTTGAACCTCCAGCATCAATTCGTGAAAACTCAGGTTTTGGGTTCTTACTTCCACGGTCAGAGTGAAATTTACTGGCATGAACTAAAATATTTGAATCTGTCTTTGTCTTTGTCTTTGTGGTGTCCCGGGCGCACTACACATCTGTGCATAAAACCTCATTGTCTGTCACTGTTCATGTGTATAATGTATTCTCCATGGATTCATACCTGTGTTGAAGCCTGGGCCAGTTCATTCTTTCCCTCACGTTTCTTCAACAAGAGGGTTATTTTTCTTTGAAGCCATATCACTCGGTGTGATAATGTGCAGTTATAGAAACAGGCGTGGTGTCTGGCAATTTCAGACACGCCTGGAACAGTTTTTTATTTTTTTCTTATATTCTCTTCATTTATTCATTCATTTTGGCAGTCGAGCTATTTTGTTGTTTGTGGGCTTTCTAACGGTCTAGAGTGGTTTTTTTTTTTTTGGGTGTAAGTGACAGTAGCTGTATTTTATAGGCTATTGTTTGCTATATGAAGAAGTGATTTGTTTTTGTATGTTGTAGTTGTTTATGTTCTTCTAATAACGAATTCAGGTTCGTCAATTCTTGAAATCAGAAGGAAGAGTTGCCCTGTGCTGTTTGCTTCTTTTTCTTCCTTCTCTCTCACCTCACCCAATTCATCATGTTAGATAAACTCAACAGTTTTACGTTGAAGTCTAATGAATTAGTGTTGATATCTATCACTTCATTTACGGCAATAACTTTGAGATTTTTTTTTTTTTATATATCATCTAGAGTTAATTTTTTTATTTCATTTGCATTTGCGGTAGAAAGATGATTAGGTTAAGGTAGACACCTTAATAAGTCAACTTCCATGAGGCCTATTAACTAAAAGTTCTTTTAACATTTTATTTGTTAACTAAAAAAATAAAAAATGAAACATAATTTGTTAATTGTTTTTGGGTATATTTATAAACATGGATCAAAATTAAAATATTTGGAAAGTAACAATATAAAATCTTAAAAATTAAAATATATCTTTTAAAATATTTTTATATTGTGAAAAAAAAAAAAAAAAAAGGATCATATTTACACGTCCTACCATCATTTTTTTGTGTTAAAGTTAACAGAGGGAAGGGCAAAATAACCCTTTTATGTTAAATATAGAATTAAATTAAATATTTCAAAATAATAAAAAATATTTATAAAAAAACTAAAAAAATAAAATATATTTAAGATTTAATATTTTCACTTTACAAAATATTTTAATTTTTGATTCCGTATTTATCAAGTTGCAAAATAAAAAACATTTGAGAATTGTTTCAATTTTTGTTTTTTAAATTTAGTTTACAAATAAAAGGTTAAAATAATTAAAAAAAAAAATTATGCATATTTTTAAAGAAACAATTTTTTTAATTAATAGTTATTATGGTCAAATCTTGAAATATCTATGTGCATATATGTAATTATAAAAGGTGGAGACATCGTCAAGGGTATTTGACTATTTGGTGGGGGCAATTCATGTTTTTATGTTTTAGGGATTGTAAAGGAACTTTTCATTCAGTGGAATCCTAACAGAAGTTAATGGAGCGGGGTGTCTGTATTAACCTAATTATCTCTTCTACAAGTCTCTGAAAAATTGAAACCTAGGGAAGGTTTGTTGTGTAATTAACTCTATTATCTAAAAAATCATTTCATTATATTGGTATAGTATTATTATATACGGAGAGTAGATAAACATGCTTTATTATAATAATAGTTAAACTTTATACAATAGCCTGCACGTATCAAATATCCAAATCATTGGTTATGATAGAATTTTTGCTTGACAAATTGATCAATTCTGATGGTTTACAAAGAGAGTATTGCGATATCTACAAATTAAGGATAATATTATACTTACAAATTATAAACTTTATCTCATAATCTAACATGATAACTCACAATTAATTAGTTTACAAATAAGTCGTATTTGCTCGCCACTCATCCAATTATAAACTATCACGTTAAGATTATGAAAAAATATTCATTCTAAACCAATGTTGTAATAGATTGGTTGTTTCGCCTTTCAAGGAACTGAATTTCCTTATCTGAGTTCAGTGTGTAAGAGAAGTGGGTTCAGCCGTCGGATAATATTAATTTAAAATTTGTTATAGAACCACCAAAACAGAAAACATTAAATCATTTCTTAAAAAACATCAGATATCAGATTATGAACATAATTCTACAAAATCTAAGTTTGTTGTAGGCATACAACAAACGAATATACAAATTCATATGTTCCAGATCAGGTCAGGACCCAACTAAACAGAACAATTATTATAGTTTCTTTCTCAATTGCAGTTGTAGCAGCTCATCTCTTGAAACCTTCTCCACTGTCCCCCATTCCACCCTAAAAACAAAAGCAAAAAGCAAAAAGAACCAAAAAAACACAGAAAACCTGCAAGTATCAAAATCTATTAGGACTATCAAAGACTATTAGTGCATATCAGTTGTAACTAAGTCTGTATAAAATTTTCGGTTTGCATTGTTTTTTCCATCTCTGCAGAATCATCAGCTTTCATGGTATTTTCCATCTCTGTAGAATCATCAGCTTCCATAGTAGTTTCCGTCGCAATTGGGGATTGATCAAGCTGATCAGATTGTAACGGTTGCATCTCTGTTTTTTTCTTCTCCTTCAGAATCACCTGCCTTGGCATCACTTCTAGCAAAAAACTTCCTCCATTCCATACAGATGCAGAAACCTTGAGAATCTGGAAAACTACATGCAATCTATATGACAAGAAGATGGGGACAGTGAGTGCCATGGTTGCCACGGTAAATATAGCTTGAAAAGCAATGTACATGAACATGCGATTCTGATCCCCAAGCAAACCACTTAAACGCCACCAGACATTGTTTGCTTTCCGTGCCTTTTTGGACAGTTCCCTACCAAACCAAGAAGTAACTATTAGAATGACATAAAAATTAATCAAACAAGTTTAAACAAAAAATTCCTTGTAACACAAGCTATAACCATATGAGTTGATAAATCAGAGAGTTCAAAAAGAATCGGGAACCTGTATGAGGTCATGACTTCAGGATCTCGTAAAAGCCTCTGTCGACGGAGGACATTAACAATGAGAAAATAAAGAACTTGCCAGAGGGTGTAAGCAGCTAAGGGAACCCAAAACAGCCAAGTGAAAAGGTAGGATTTATCTTCCACATAAGGCCATGACACTCTTTGAGATGCTCCTTCCGGACGCATGGCAGCAAAGGTTTCTGGATTCCACCATCGAATGGTGAAAAACACTAACCCTGAAAAGGAAGATATTGCATTAGAAATGTGAAAATTCATCGCCAAAATTATAAATCAGAACACAAACTTAGCCTCCCTTCTAGGCAGATTCAGTCTGCTGTTGAGTGCACAAATAAATAAACCTAGAATCAGGTTCTTCCTACTTAATAAGGTTTTAAAACAGAAAACTCCAAGTCAAATTATAAATTTGCAATTCAATAATGACAGATTCGGTTGCATTTTGTTTTGTTACTTGATTGAGAATTGCCTATCATAGGCTCATAGCACCTTTCGTTGAAGGAAATCAGAACCTGAGATAAACCAAGCCTAACATTGAACTTTTAACTAAAGTATAATGGTAAATTTGCTTTAAATAAAAGAATTGATAGAATAAAAATGGACATATAGGACACAAATTCTGATTTATGAATAAATAAAAGGCAAAAGGCAAAAGGCATTATTGAGTCAAAACTTGTTAAATTGGATGGCAATCATGGCCTCAGACTTGCCACAGTTATTGTTCTTTGTATCCAGTGCATACTAGGAATATAATACATGCACAGTTTGTTTTTCAGAAGTAGACTTAAAAATGTTAGCCTTACGCCCTGCTTATTCATTTTCACCCAAAAAAAAAAAATAAATAAAGAAGGTTACACATTTAAAATGTGCGCTTTAAAAAGAGTGATACAGAAGCAAAGAAAGTCCAACTCACCAGGCAAAAGATGTATTAGGACACTCACACTTTTGTCAACAGAATTGAAAACCAAGCTACAACGCCAAACAATCAATGCCCATGCTAAAGGCCCCTGCAGCAGCATCCAGAGGGTGCAAAAAGGAAACAAAGCAAAACATTCGTCATTTCAAAAGCTTTTCATTTCTTGGATAGAACTGTGACACGAGAATTTTAGTTTACCTCAGCAAATGAGAAGCAAACCATGAAAAACTTTTCATTTCTTGGGTAGAGAAGAAGATTAACCAAGAAGATTGTATTGGCATAATAGCAAAAATCCTGGCATAAAAAAAAAAAGAAAAAAAAAATTATCTCAATCTTCTCATTGTTCATCTATACATGACATAGTGAAAACTTCAATAAATAAACAAGTAAATGTTTTAAAAATCTCATAAAAAGAAATATCCATCCCCAGTCCTGGAATCAAATTTGGAAATAAAAAATGCTGCACCAGAGTCCATGCCTTCATTTTACATATCAGAAATAGCATGTCGACGTTGTTCTATATCAATATGGATTGAACATCTTGCTGTATTAAGATATTGGCCACTGCAAAATCTTTGGCTTACCTAATTCTGAATATACTCCCTTCATATTATTCTATCTTATTCTCCGAAAGAACAGTTTTCTTTCTCAAGGTGAGATATCATTAGAAAGGAATCCATGATGTTAAAAGTTAAAACTCAACTTAGCTCTTCTTCCAACTCTCAGCCATTTTAAATCCACTACAAGAGTTGTATCAATGATCAAATATTCTACTAGAAAGAGTAGTATCAATGATCAAATATTCTACTAGAAAGAGTTGTATCAATGATAACATCTTCTAAAACAAACTACAACTAGACACTAAAATTCTCTCAACCAACTTTACCCCAATCTATTTAGGTCTACTCATCTTTGCAAAACCGTTCAAACTTGAATAATGCCACTCCTCTTTCCTACTAATATCAACAGTAAACATTGAACAAGGCTAAACCACATCAACCAGCTCTAAAATATTCAAATTCCCAATAGTATCTACCCAAAAGAAACAAGAAACAGACAAGATACTAAAAATAATTTATGCTTTTAAGTAATTAAATTCGTAGCAAGCATAAAATAAACAACAATACAGCAACGCAGAGGTAGAGATTTACCAGAAGGTAGTAGTGCCATTTCTTATACCGATAATAAATCCACCGAAGAGGAACAAAGGTGACATAGAAGAAACAATATACATAAGGAATATCTTGGGGCCCTGCCAATCCATTAATTAACCCAAAAAAAAATAAAAAAAATCAGTAAAGCTACCAAGACTTTCAATTTTTGTAATGTATTAAAATATATTACTCACTTGCTCCGAGCAGGAAACAAAAACCCCCGAACCCAAGAACTCCCAGAAGATGTGTCACCTACAAAATTACAAACAAACGAAATTGAAAGTTCAAATTCAATGATCCAAGTAACATCAATCCAATCAAAAACAGAGTTAAAAACCTTATTAATAAATCTTTCATGTTCCTCTGCTTGTTTAGCGATCTTAACGGCCTGTTTAGACAAAATCTCCTTCGTCTGAACTGCCCTTTTCGACATCATCTCCTTTGTTTGAACAACTTTCTACAAAGAGACAAAAAAAAAAAAAACACCAGATCCATAAAAATTAATCAATAAACACAAAAAACAAACCAAAAACTCAAGATTGAACAATACCTGAGATCGATCCTTGAACCTCTGCTTCACCATTCCAAATGAATCCTCGTTCTCGTTCATCTCCTCCCAAAGCTCTTCGTTGTTGGCCATTTTTATATTTCTCCTCCGCTATGCAAAGAGTATAAGTATAATCTATATAGAAGGAAGGAGAAAGAGAAATAAGATGAATCTAAATGATAGAGAAAGGTGGTGGTTGATGTGCGTGCGTATAACCTTCTGCTTCCACAGTTTAACCAAATTTTTGGTCAATAATTAAACATTTCCGATTGTAATCGGCGGTTATCTGAATTTTTTTAGAATTGCTTTTGGGTATCAGTATTACGCATATCACCTGCCGCGTCTGTGGTTATCAAGAATGAGGACTACTTTATTTGAGTCGGCGATTATCCTACTTTGATAAGCTGAAACCGAAAACATTATTCGTTTGAATTTTTTATTAATAAAAATATATTCACTGTGACAGTTGGAAGAGCCAATATTAGACAAAGATCTGCCTTTTGTATTATCGTATATTTAATTGTTAATTAAACACTAATCAAAATCATTTGCTTCATCCACATTCTTAACCACAACTTTATCCCCCTTTCAGATCTTTGCCATTTAATTATTAAATCACGCTTATCAATCCTAACCGTCCAATTAATCAAATTGATAAGGTCAATCATGTCATTGACGATGTCACCGACTGTATTTGAAAGGACAATTGTCAGAACAGGAGTGGTAGAGTTGTTGAAAATTGGATACACATGTCAGTCTCTAGAAGTTCTGAGGAGGTCCGTCATGGCTGAGCTGTCACTCTTTGTTTCCCTAAGTAGTCACGTGTTGCCACGTAAGAAGATAACGTGTGGACCGTTCCCTCTGTATCTTTTTCTGAAAAGGAAAATGAAGTTGCCAAATCATTGTGTTGATTTTTTTCCACGTGGCATGATTTAATAGAACTTGATTTCAACCGATAAAATCGGCACCGTAGGGAGCTATCCCTACTTAGGTTTCCCGCGCCTGAAGGAGCAATAGTATGATGCATTTATAAACTTCACAGGAAAGCACATTTTCCTATCACTGAAACTCTCCATTCATCATTATTCAAAATCAAAACCAATAACTTTACCTATTCCTTTTTTTTTTTTTTTTCTGGAAGCAGTTTAAATGATTAATAACATTACACTTACAAATTCTTACATTTCATTAAATAAAATCTTTATAATGTGACGGGGTATTACTCAATAAATGACGTATCAATTAATAAGTTAATTTTGTATATTCATTCTATCATTTATATTTTGTTATATATATGGAAACTTCTTAAGAATTAAACTAATTTGAGCTTTTTCTTGGTTCCTACGGTATTGTATTATTACTGTCAGGATTTGGTAATCTAAAGCCTAAACTCTGCCCTCTAGAATGTAACCCGAGGGCCGAGGGAACATATTTTATGTAGGCCCAACAAAAGAATAAAAAAAATGGGTCAGGCTTTTCCACGTTTTAAAACGCTTATATTAAATAATCAGATAAATTTGACGATCATTGCTTTAAGAGCAGCCCTGTGCATTAGCAGTGTGGGAAGAATGCTCCTAAATTTGTCATAGCCCCATCATACAATTTCATGGTTTAAAAGTGCTAACCTCAAATTTAAGATATTTCTATTGGAATTAAATTTTTAAGTCTTTATTTATACAAAATATTTTTTTTTTAAATTTATTCCATGATAACTCATTTTTTTCTCGACAATTTTCATTTTTTTTTCCCCTTAAATAGGGATGTCAAAAAATGTAGATTTATATTACCTAATCTACATGAAACCCTATCCAATTCAACCCAATTTTAAGAATGGATTATTTTTACGAATCAAGTTATGGGTTATCCAATCTATAAAAAGTTTAAATTCTATGAATTATATCTATTATTTTTTATTTTAATGGCTGTCATACAGTGACGGGCGGCTCCTTTTAAGAAGATACCTTTCTACCGAAATCTTCACATTCAACGGTTTCATAAATGATCCCCTTTTTCTTTTTGTTTGTTTGTTAAGAAAAGCATCTTTTAAACAAACGTGTTTAGACTTCAGTCGGAAGCTTTCAAGTTTGTTCTAGTAAAAGTTGGGGTCATTTTATATTTTATGGAAATTATGGCACCTGCCAAATAATATGACTGGCGCGTCAGTTTGAATATTGAGTGTGGGCCAATGTCGACGACCCCCAATATAATATTTAAAATTTTTAAAAAGGTCGAAATCCAATTTTTCAGCTTAGGTTTGGCGAAATCGACATTTTCTCACGTCTGTTTTTGAAACTATCAGCGTTCCATCCATTTTTCAAATCCAAGGTTAAAGTTAATGGTAAAAGGATCATTATTTTTGTAGGGAGAACGACTTACACATACCCAAGATTATCGTAAAGATAAGTTGGTATTTAAAGGTTTTAAACGACAATAGATACCTTTCGTCATGTTCTGTTAGTGATTTTTATTTATTAATAGTGAAAACACTAAAATGCCCTTGAATTTTAATTTGTTTTTTATAAATTTAAAAATTTCTAAAAAATCCTTTAAGTTTACAAATTTAACTAAATACCCTAATATATAAAATTTTTATAAAATAACAAAAACATCTCTGCCACCTGCAGTGCCAGATTCCGGCCCGGAATCTGGCCGAAAAGTTGCGTTACACACAAACCCATCGATCTGTGTCATAACGCGTCGATCTGGCCTTTTCTCGGCCAGATCCTGTGGCATCTGGCCGGAAAGGCCAGATCTACGCTAGATCTGGTCGTCGACGCCGCAAAACTCCATATGCGGCGTCGACGGCCAGATCAGCCACGGATCTGGCCGAAAAAGGCCAGATCTGGCTGCTGCTTCGTGACCAATATGGCCTTTTCCGGCCAAATCCATGGCGGATCTGGCCGGAAAAGGCAATCGACACGTTACGACATAGATCCGACGGGTTTTGTGTCGTAACGCAATTTTTCGGCCAGATTTCCGGCGATAGTGGCCGAAATCTGGCACTGCGGGTGATGGGGGTGTTTTTGTCATTTAACAAATTTTTTATATATGGGGGTGTTTAATTAAATTAGCAAACCTAGGGAGTTTTTTAGAAATTTTTAAATTTATAAAAAACTAAAATTGAAACTTTCAAGGGTATTTTAGTCTTTTCACTATTAATAAACAGAAATCACTAACAGAACATGACGAAAGGTATCTATTTATTGTTTCAAAATCTTTTGAGTACTAACTTATCGTTACGATAAATCTTGAGTATGTATAAGTCGTTCGACCTATTTTTGTATGATTGTGGGGTTGAAGATGAAAGATGGAGTTAGAGATAAAGGGGAATTGTGTAAAATCTGAATTGCTGTGGATATTAGAGGAGGTGATAATTCATAAGAGATGTAGATGGAAGATGAATTTGTACGGATTTAGAAATAATTGGGAGGTGATAATTGTGTAAAATCCTGGTTTGGAAGCAATTTTGTGGAGGGAAAAGTATTTCAGCATATTTTAAAAATAAATGTGATGGGATGACATTGACATTGACATCGACATCTAGGTTAGTGCTTGGAAGCATCTGGTGCAGCATCGCCTTTTGGAAGTCGTGAAACTTAGAGCTCTCCTCCACACGTGATTATCTAGGGAGGGAAGAGAATATCCTAAAGGAGGCGTTTGGTACAGAAATATTAGATTACTGAAAATATTAGATTACTAAAAAGATAGATTACTTTGAAAGATTTTTTGAAATCTTTAAAAAAATATGTTTGGTTAGTTAGTGGGTATGTTATATTAATATGTTTGGTTATGAAGAATAAATTGGTGGGTATGTTATTTAAATTACTAAATTGTCCTCCTTTTAAATATTAATATAAGATTATTTTTATTATTAATCTTTAAATAATTTCTTTTAACCCCCAATATTTCAGATTTAGCTAAAACACTCTCGCTTATATAAAACTTTAATTTATAACGAAATCACCCCCACCTCCTACCACCACCGCAAACCACTGTCGAAAATCTCCGAAAGTACCCGTGAGTACCTCACCGTGACGAAGAGGCTCCGATATGGCTGTTTTCGGCCATCAATTTGGCCGGAAACGGCCATATCGAAGCCTCCCGGAGTCTCCCACCAAATCTCGTTCTTTTTTGGGGACTCCAATGATTTTTCGGCGGCGGCCCATGGTGGTTGGCTCACTGTCGGTGGTGGTGGCAGTGGTGGTCTGTAAATTATTTTAAATATAAGGGCATTATTGTCCAAAATTTTAATTAAACAAGAGTAAAATTGAAATAGGATATTAATGTAAATTTGTTTTAAAGTAGGGGTATTATTGTCAAAAAAATTTATTAATAAAGGATAAAATGATAACCCTGGTAATCTCAGAATACCTAAGAAAATAGAGGTAATCAGATTACCTCCCATATTACCAATAGTAACCACTATTGGTATTTAAAGATTACCGGTATCTTATATTACTTGACAATCAAACATGGTAATCAAGTAATATAAAATAACATTATCCCAATAATCCCATATAACCCCCAACCAAACACCCCCAAAAGAATTTCAAATTTTCAGGTGAGAGGTAATACAATTATTCAGTTAAATTTATTATTTCAGAATAAGCAAATGTAAAACAAATAAATGAGTCCAATAATAAAGGAAAATATCTCGTTCAAGTTAAAACTAAAAATACACATTATTATGTAAGGATATCTCAACTTAATACAACTCACTACTCAACCCCCTTTTTTATTTAAAGAAATATCAATATTAAATAAAAGTGCTTCAGTTATTTTTGGCCATAAATTGAAATATAGATACAAGTATGAAGTGTGTTATAGTATAATTCTACATGTCACTTAATCTAATAATTATAAGTAATGTTACAGTCACTGAAGGTTATACACCGAATTCATGCATCGAATAATGTGATAAAATCCTGACCGTTGATTAATATTAAGTTAAAATTAATCAACGGTCAGGATTTTATCATATCATTTGGTGCATGAATTCGGTGTATAAACTTCGATAACTGTATCTTTTCTTAATAATTATAGGAGATCATATATATATATATATATATATATATATATATATATTATATATATATATAATAAGTAGTTTGGGCTTTGCCCTCGTTACATGCAAGCTGAGTATTTCTAGAGAACAAAATGGGACAGCTAAATGCGTAATAATTAACGACGCTATAAGAGAGACCCAAATCATATTTGACGTTATTAAATTGGGGCCACATCTCTTGTCATAATACATCATGTGCTATCAGTTTTTACATATTCAATTAATGCCCTATAGGTTGCTTCTATTCTCCTTTAACTATTTTTTGAATTATGGTAAACACTAATGCCATTAGATCTTGCCATATCGGACAAGCTATTAATCTGTGCGCCTTTTTTTTTTTTTTTTTTTTTTGGTTATTTTCAACATGCTATTGTGAAAATTAATTAATATTATAATACTTTTACTGGAAAAAACTCCGTAATAAAATAGATTAGTTAAAACAGAAAGAGAAAAGGATAAAAAGAAATCTTACTTAAATACTATTAAACTTGTATAAAAACACAATATTTTTTCTTTAAAAAAAAAACCTTGATCATTGCTAAATTTTATTAAACATGAATAATTTTATAGCCATAAACTAATGTAGAAGAGATAGATCATGAATAAATAAATTTTAGATTATTATTAGTTTTTTTTTTTTTTTTTAATCAAGACCATGTGGTTTCTCTCTTTACAACATATAACCACTATAGGAAATTACGGTCAAGCTATTCTAAATAAATTTGTGACAAAAATTTAAATTGTATGTTAATATAAGTCAATTGCTTATAAGTTATTGAGTTAACATCAACAATAACTTACCCTAGCTATTTTTGAATACATTGGATTACATTGACTTAAACTGCCAAGAATTTATATCACCAATTTTTGTCGAAATTTTGTATTATAATAACCTTGAATTAGTTGTTAAAGATGATAATTAAATATTGTTACATAGATATGAGCAGAAAAATGAAAAAAAACAAAACAAAACAAAAAAAGAATGTGGAGAGTATTGGTCATTGGGTTATAAATAAGTTAGAAATAAGGAAAGGAAATTTGGGAAACATAAAGGGCAACAAATTAAATACTATGTATAATATGAGGAGATTATCATAGTCTACCTCAAGGTCTTCAAATGTATCTTTCAATGATAATTTTCACATTTTTTACTAAATGGACCTTCAAAGTTTGGAAACCGTTTATGGATACCCTTTTGCATTATCAAATGAACCCTCAAAGTTTTAAAACGGTATCATAGATACCAGTGGCGAATCTAGGAATTTCACTTTATAGGAGCAAAAAATAAACAAAAAAAAAAAAAATTAAAACCAATCATAACCATGCTTTTTTTTTTTTTCATTATGATGAGCTTCAACAAAAAGTTATAAAATACAAATAAATATTTTCAAGAAACACAATTTTTGTAAACATAAAACAATTTTTCTACAATTGTCTTCGACGAGTTTTTATATTTTAAAAACATTTGATAATCATCTGATCGTCAATTGTATTAAATACATATTTCTCAATATAAGTGACCAAACAATCATTTATCCATTGATCTCTCATTCGATTGCGTAACCGACTTTTCACAAGATTTATTACAGAAAAAGCCCTTTCAATGGTCGCAGTCGCAACTAGTAAAACCAATGCAACTTTCACAAGCTTATACACCAACAGATACAAAATGTCTTTTTTAAACCGAACTAAATTCTTAACTAAATCATCAATTCCTTATAACTTAGCAAATTCATCACAAGAACGCATGTCAATAACACAGTCTCAGCCTGGTTCTCAAGTACCATCAACTCAAGTGCAGAAAAATTAAATGGATAAAATTGGCCAAACCTATTCTTCCCTCTCTTCTCTTTTTCCTTTTCCTTTCTTCCTTATGAGTTTTTCTCTCTTCTTCTTCATTTTGGGTGAACAGCCCAATTTATATACGTATAAAACAGCTTTTTTGAATTATGAAACTGCTCCAAAATTCTTTTATTCTCACCATGACCCTGCCACATCAGCTTTATTGTAAAAATACTCAGATTTCTCCCCTTAATTACATGCAAACCCAACAGTTCTTATTCCTTTCATTTTCACTCCTAATAAAACTTTTAAAAACCAACAGATCCCCTTGCATAAAAATAAAAATCACAAAAAAAATGAAATATATATATTAAGATTAAAAACGGGATTTTACAAAAACAAAATCCAAACTTACCGTAAGGGTCGTTCTGTTTTCAAAATCTCAAAATTCTGTAGAGGTAAAATTTAAATAAATATAAAATCTGAAATTTTTTAAAAATTGAGTGGGACTCGTTATTCATTGGATCCGCCACTGATAAATACCCCTTCTTTGCCCTAATCCCATCACATTGTTGTTACATTTACAAATCACATTTTTATAAGACCAAAGTTACCATTTTAACCTAACACCATCTTATAAGACCAAAGTTACGATTTTACTCATATATCACAGACGAAAACATAATGAAGTTAGAGAGAAGGGATATCAATGAGACTATGATACAATTTTGAAATTTTGAGGGTCTATTTAATAAAACGTGCAAAAATTGTCATCTAAAAATAAATTTAAAAACTTTAAGGGTATTTTAAATAATCTCCCATATGATATGTATAAAGAAACGATAATGTTAAGTAGTTGGTTTAAAACGGGAAGAGGGCAGCGGCATTTTAGAGACAGAAAGACACCATTGCCTTAGACACCGTAACTCTTTCTGTAAGAAACCTCTCTATCTCTCCCTCTCCCTTTCTCTCGCTCACTCTTCTGTATCTTTTCAGCTTCTACTTTCACTTATTTTTTTTTAATTCTTTCTTAAACCAATCAAAATGCTTTTTTCCCCCCCTTAAATTGGAAGAGGGACGATGTCTATGATTGATTAGTTTAGGGTTTTTTGTCAATAAATTTCGATTCTCTGCAAGCTCAATCAGGTATTTTTTTTTTTAAATTTTAAAATGGATTATATATATATATATTATCAATTGTATAAATTGTATTTACTTGGTGAATCGAAATGATATAGCTTTGTGAGAATCTTAATAAGTTATAGTAATGGATTCTATTTAATCTGATTGTAGTTTTAGTTTGTTTGGAAATAAAGACGATGTTGTCAAAGGCTGGAGCTCGGAAGAAGATAGGCGAGGGGACAAATAGTTTGAAGTTGTTAAATGAGATTGAAGCTATAAGCAAAGCTCTTTATTTAGAGAAAAATCCTGTAAAAAGCTCGAGTTCTATTACCAATAACCGGTCCAAATCAGCTGGGAAAGCCCCTTTGCTTGATGCCAAAGGGAAGTTAAAATACAATAATAAGGATCCATCTATCAAGGACAAGAAGTCCATTTGGAACTGGAAGCCATTAAAGGCCTTCTCTAGTGTTAAAAATCGTAGGTTTAATTGTTGTTTCTCTCTCCAAGTCCATTCTATTGAAGGTTTGCCTCAGAGTTTTAATGATGTTAGTCTTCTTGTGCACTGGAAGAGGCGGGATGAGGGTTTGGAGACCCGTCCAGCTAAGGTTCTTGATGGAAAGGTTGAGTTTGAAGAGAAATTGACACACACTTGCTCAGTTTATGGCAGTAGGAATGGACCTCATCATTCGGCAAAGTATGAGGCAAAGCATTTTTTGCTCTATGCTTCTGTGTTTGGAGCACCAGAACTAGATCTGGGGAAGCATCGGGTTGACCTCACAAGGTTGCTTCCTCTTACATTGGAAGAATTGGAGGATGAGAAGAGCTCTGGGAAGTGGACTACTAGTTTCAAGTTATCGGGGAAGGCTAAAGGTGCTACAATGAATGTTAGTTTTGGGTATATGGTTATTGGGGATAATGCAATTCCTAATGGAAGTAATAAGAGTGTCCATGAGCTGGCGAATGTGAAGCGGAATAACTTGGGTATGATAAAGCCGATTACTAAATTTGGTGTACATGATGTCAAGAGCACAATGCAGCAGAGTGGAAGCATTCCTGGTAGAGTTACTCAGCTATCTCGTTCCTCAACTCAATCCACGGAGGACATCAAAGATCTGCATGAAGTTTTGCCAACATCAAGGTCAGAGCTTGCCAGTTCAGTCCAGATGCTGTATAAAAAATTCGATGAAGAAAAGTTGGATTCATCAATTGATCATAGACCTGAACTTGATTCGGCTGCTGGTCATCTTGAGCCTATCAAACCGCACTCATATGTAATGTCTGTCTCTGGAAAAGAAAATGTTGATAATCAATGTGAAGACAACGAGTTCTCTGTAATTGAGCAAGGGATAGAATTTTTGTCAGAGGAACATGTAAAATCTCCGGAACTTACTGTGAAAACTGCTTTTAATTCTACCTTAAAAGGTCCTGAAGTTGGTGAAGTTGACACTTCTGCACCAGCTTTTAAAGAGGGAAAGCTTTCCCAGGATGGGAACAACGTCAGTGACATGGATGACGTTGTGGGTTCTTATTGCAGTTGCAAAGAGGATGATGTATACTCCAAAGAATCATTGATGAAAGACTTGGAGTCAGCTTTGATCAGTGTGTCTAATGTGGTGTTAGAAGCTGCAGATTCTCCTGAACGGCCAGAGAATCACATGGAAATTAATAATGATCATAATGTGATTGGGTTGGGGAGGTCACGTAGCTTGGATGATGTTACTGCATCTGTGGCAACTGAGTTCTTTGACAAGCTGGGGATTGAGTACAGTCCATTTGGCTTGAGTTCTGAGAGTGAGCCAGATTCTCCAAGAGAGCGCTTGCTAAGGCAATTTGAGAAGGATGCCCTAGCTGGTGGTTATTCTTTATTTGATTTTGGTATAGGTGATGAGGACCAAGCAGAATTTGTCTATGATGCTCCAACTGTATCTGAGAGTGGGATTTTGTCTGAGGATTTTGAACCTCTGTCTGTAGTTCAAGCTGCTGAGGAGGAGCATTGGATGTCAACTCAGGATTTAAATAGCAAAAGGAAGGCCGCGATGTTGGAAGATTTGGAGACAGAAGCCTTAATGCGTGAGTGGGGGCTGAATGAAAAGGCTTTTCAAAGTTCTCCAAATGAAAGCTCTAGTGGGTTTGGGAGTCCTATTGATTTGCCTTCGGAAGAGCCATTCCAATTGCCTCCGCTTGGAGAAGGAATGGGTCCATTTCTTCAGACAAAGAATGGAGGATTTTTGAGGTCTATGAATCCTTCACTGTTCAGCAATGCTAAAAGTGGCGGGAGCTTGATCATGCAGGTCTCTAGTCCTGTTGTGGTACCTGCGGATATGGGATCTGGTGTAATGGAGATACTGCAGCGACTGGCATCTGTTGGAATTGAAAAGCTCTCAATGCAGGCGAATAAATTAATGCCTTTGGAAGATATAACTGGGAAGACAATGCAGCAAGTGGCATGGGAAGCTGCACCAACTCTAGAGGGACTTGAGAGGTTTGTTAGCACTTCCTTGCAGAGTTAAAAAAAAATACGCTCTTTTTCTCAAAATTATTTTGGTAAATAAGCTTTTTTTCCTTTTTCTTATTTATAACATTTTTATTTGTTCCTTGGCACAGCCAGTACATATTGCATCACGAATCAGAGGTTCGGCAAGACTTTTCAGATGTGCAGAAGAGAGTGGATGGAAGATCATCCGGATCCAGGCCTAGTAAGCTTAGTTCAACTTCAGCAGGCAATGAAATTTGTTCGGAATATGTATCCTTAGAAGATCTTGCTCCTTTGGCTATGGATAAGATTGAAGCACTTTCAATGGAGGGGTTGAGAATACAATCTGGCATGTCAGATGAAGATGCACCTTCAAACATCAATGCACGATCTATTGGGGAAATTTCGGCCCTCCAGGGCAAGGGGGTCCACATGACTGGGTCACTTGGTTTGGAAGGAACTGGTGGATTGCAATTGTTGGATATAAAAGACAATTGTGAAGAAGTAGATGGATTAATGGGTCTTTCACTAACTCTTGATGAATGGATGAGGTTGGATTCTGGTGAAATTTATGATGAAGACCAAATCAGTGAGCGGACTTCAAAAATACTTGCTGCCCATCATGCTACTTCCCTGGACTTGATTCGTGGAGGGTCAAAGGGGGAGAGAAGGCGGGGGAAAGGATCTGGGAGGAAGTATGGTTTGTTGGGAAATAACTTCACAGTAGCACTGATGGTGCAACTTCGTGATCCTCTGAGAAATTATGAACCAGTTGGTGCACCAATGCTTTCTCTTATTCAGGTGGAAAGAGTTTTTGTACCACCAAAGCCAAAGATATATTGCAAGGTCCCGGAGGTGAGGAATAACAGTGAAGAGGATGATGAGTCTGAGTCAACGGGGAAGGAAGCAAAGAAGGAGACAAAAGAAGAAAAAGCTGCTGAAGAGGAAGGCATTCCGCAGTTTCGAATCACTGAAGTCCATGTTGCAGGTCTGAAGACAGAGCCTGAAAAGAAGAAGCTTTGGGGCACGAAAACCCAACAACAATCAGGGTCTCGCTGGTTGCTTGCCAATGGAATGGGAAAGAACAATAAGCATCCATTTATGAAGTCAAAGACTGTTTCAAAATCTTCAGCCCCTCCGACAGCCAAGGTGCAGCCTGGTGATACTTTGTGGAGCATTTCATCTCGTATTCATGGTACTGGGGCTAAATGGAAGGAATTGGCAGCACTCAATCCACATATACGGAATCCCAATGTTATTTTTCCAAATGAAACTATAAGGTTGCAGTGACGTGCACATGCATATGAGTGTCAGCTGGAACCTGCATGAAACAGGTTTAGCCATTTTCATGAAGATGGTTCCATGCCGATAGTGAAGTTGTTGAACTGAGTGATTATATTTTAAACGGTGAGGTCTTATAGTCTTACCATGAAATGGGAGTTGTTAAAGCAATGCACTCATTAGACAAGATGAGTTCAGCTTGTGGTGTTTTTCTTGTATTTACTCGAGGAAAATGATCAAGCAATAATTTGTCCATGCAATACAAGGTAAAATACGAATAGTTTCTGTGTATCTTCATTTCTGTTTTGTACATTTATATGTTTTGTAATTATGCCCACCACCTTTGTAACTTATGCTTTGTTAAGAATCATTTACTGTTTGCCTGCAAGAAGTCTGGAGTTGCAGAAAATTTCAAATTCCATAGCCCTTGCCCTTTTTCTTGTCCTTTTTGTTGCAAACGAAGGGAATTTTGTTTACCACAAGGTTCAAGCAGTGATTACAATAATTGAATATGATTTTAATCGTATGAGTTATACTGTATAAGTATATATATTTATATAAATCTCTATCCTATAATTTATACTTGGAGAAATATCTGATCAATTGCGTATGAAGGAAGCTTATTCATCAATTTCTTTCACAATCAGAGAGAAGTTTCAGTGAACAGACTGTTATTGACTATCAAATGGTAGTGACAACCTCCATCTCTATTTCCTGCTAATTATCATTTTATCTTTTCTCTGTCACGACTCTAATGTCAAGCCTTCCGGATATTCTCCTCTGTTGATTCCACATATAGTCAGTCAACAAACACATTAATCCACATCTTTGATGGACTAACTGCCCGGCAGACCAAAGTTCCAAGATCAGGATCAGATTATTATTATAATAACAATAAACAATGGCAATTGCAAGTGAATTTCGGAGTTTTTTATTGCAAGAAAATTAAAGTTGTAATGTAAAATGAACAGAAACAGAGACCCTATTATCTTATTCTTCTCTACAAATACATTTATAATTGCAGTGGGACTACATTGTTTGTCTTCCGATTGCTCAAGCAATTGATGAGAACATCTCCCAGTTTCCCTTCATTGATGGCTTCATAAACCTTCTCAATATCCTCTCCTGGACTCACCTTTTTGGCGCCACTGAGAATTTCAGTTCCCACTTCTTCTCTCACAAACCTATATATAGCATATGTCCTGCATTTCTTAATCCTGTTTGCTATTGAAACATCTCCATTACCAAACCTCTCCCTTGCTTTTGAAATCTCTTCTTCTAGTCTTGCTTTCAGTTCCTCCATGAATACCGGGATTCGCTTGAATATGGAATAGCCATTTTCATTAGCTTTAGAATCTGGAAGTGCTTTTGCAACGAGTACTTCTTGTACCTTTGGCAAAAAGGCATAATGAGGGTTGGTGGGATCGTCAAGATAGGAGAATACCGGTTGGTGTTCAACAACCTGCAAGAGTTCTTTCTCTGAAAAACGAGAGTCAAGTAGTGATCCATCTTCAGCTATGTAAAGGGTCCTCTTTATAACCTGGCTGACGGTTTGTTTCACAACTTGTCTCATGTTCTCTTCCAAATGCCTCAAATCAATTGCCTGGCAAAGAGCCACCATGAAAGTTGCAGACATAAGTTTTAGTATCTCAATAGCTTCTGCACTTTTTCTAGCTGAAATCAAACCAAGAGAGTTCACATCTTGGTTGTGTTGTTCAGCGCTTTGAACATGTGTTGTAACAGGATTTGCCAGGTACTGAAGCTCTGAACAATAAGCAGCCATGGCTATCTCCGCGCCTTTGAATCCATAGTCCAGGCTAGGATTAGGTCCACCACTCAAATTAGAAGGCAAACCATTGTTGTAGTAATCACAAACAAGTTCAGAGAACTGAGCAAACATGAGCTTTCCCATTGCTGCAATGGCAATCCTGAGATTGTCCATAGAAACACCAATAGGTGTACCTTGAAAATTCCCACCATGGAGAGCAAGATTCCGAGAAACATCAATCAAAGGGTTGTCATTCACGGAATTGATTTCCCTTTCAATTGAATGAGTTGCCATACGAATGACTTCAATCTGTGGACCAAGCCATTGTGGAGAGGTTCTCAGTGCATATCGGTCCTGTTTAGGCCTTGTAAGTGGATCTTTTTCGTTGCGAATTTTTGCTTCTTTCATGTAGTCACTTTCATCTAACAGGTGCTTCATTATAGCAGCTGATTCAATTTGACCAGGATGGTGCTTGAGCTCGTGAGTTAGAGGGTCCGTGAACTCTGGCTTGCCATGCATGACTTCACAGAACAAAGCAGAAAGAACTTCTGAAAGGAGAGCCAAAATGTTGGCATCAAAACAAACTGTTGCAGCCACAGCTGAACCAACGGCTGTTCCATTGACAAGAGCTAAACCTTCCTTTGCTTGCAGCTCAAAAGGAGCTGGAATTCCAGCTCTCTTCAACGCTTCAATGGCTGTTATCTCCTCACCTTCGGGAGTAACCACCTTGGAATTATGGCGACCTGTTATCAACCCAGCGATATAAGACAATGGCACAAGATCACCTGAAGCAGTAATAGTTCCTCTTAGAGGCAGTTTAGGGATCAAATTTTTGTTCATAAGCTTGGCCATTGCTTCAAGTATCTCCCAACGTATGCCCGAATAGCCCTGCATGAGAGTGTTTACACGGACAAGCATTCCCGCCTTTGCATAACTGGAAGGAAGATTTTCTTTACCAATTACTCCAGCATTCAGGAAACGAATAAGCTCCGTTTGAAGATCAGCAGTTTTGTTGGTGCGTCTATGTGAAGTGGCACCAAAACCAGTCGTAACACCATATGTATCAGTCCCGCGAGAGATGTTTTCAGCAACCCAATTGGCACTTTTCGCCACTCGGTCACGAGCAACAGTCTCATCAAGGTTAACTTTCACTTCATTTCTACGTGCAATGGCGGTAACCTCAGCAACAGTGAGAGTTGTGCCCTGGATATCAACAGTTTGAGCCTGGGAAAACTGTGACACCATTTGATGAACTTGGTCAAAATGGGAACATTGGAGGGCCTCAGCAGCCTTCTTCCAATGTAGTGGGGTTGAAACATCAGAATTTTCTGATAGACAAATGGGGTTGTTACTGTGTTTTTGAAGAGTTGGGGCAATCTCATTGGTGGCCATTGCCAGAATTTGACACTGAATTTAAGACGAGGGAAAAGTAGGAGAAATGTGTTTAGTTATAAAAAGCTATTGAAAGGTGTGAGATTGAGAAGGAAGCAGAGGTATGAATTTATAGTGGTGAGTGAAGAGACAGACAGAAGTGGGAAAGGGCTGCTGAAATTGGTCAAAAAAACTTAAGAAAAGAAAGTAGAGATTTGTGGACAGAGTTGCGAGGAAGGAGAGTGGAAATTTTGGGCATCTTTACTCATGGAAAATTTTGTTCCCACTTCTATTGAAATAGACCATTGACTTCGTAAAGCTCAATAGTATAATATCATACAAAACAACAATCAACATGCGATACATGGCTACGAGATACATTAATTCTGTTCCCAAGAAAGATCCCAACTTAAGCTAACCGACCATATACTTGTCTTTTTTTTTCTTTTTTTTTTGTGCCAAGTTTTTATCCTGTCGTTTGAGGGCGTGATTCGTGTGAATTTCATTTTTCTCATCTCATTAATAATACAACATGTGGCCATGCAAATTTCCCTCTCAATCCACAAGAGACTAATCACACATATACATATTTATCTACAATACGAAAACTTAAAAACTTTTCAACTCTTACAATAACCATATTTTTTTTTAAACAGATTTATTTTAACTTCAAGCTACAAACTGAAAAAGTTACGTTTAACCCTACATTTTTATAGGAGCAAGTTACGCATTTAGACCCACCTTTGTGTAGTTCAAGAGATAGGACGAGCGCTAGGGTGGATGGTTAAGGCGTAAAATCTCAGGTTCGAATTCCCTTGGCTTCCAAGAAAAGAAAAAGTTTCAGATTTGGGACCAAACCATGAATCAAAGACCAAACAAAATTTATAGGTTCGAAGTTGATAGACCACCAATTACTAATATGTATCTAAAGAAGTGGAGAAAGAACATTAGTAGGGAAAAGAACAATAAGAATTAGCTATAGGAATAATCCACGTGTCCTGGATTTAGAGATTATTAGTGGGGAATCAAGCGTGCATGTAAAGGAACCAATATTGTAAAAGGGGTTAGGTTGTTTTCAAAAGGGAATATTGTTAGCAGGCCACTAAGGCCTCGAATTACTTTTTCCTTTGAATGTTCTCGCATTTGTTACTATTTTGTCAAGATAATTTATTTCAATATACTACTTGTAATTTCCTAGTTGCTGAGTTTGCTTTTTCCTTTGAATGTTCTTGCATTTGTTACTCTTTTATCACGATAATTCATTTCAATATACTACTTGTAATTTCCTAGGCGCTGAGTGTTTGGTTCGTTTGAATTACTGAGCATATTGAAGTTCTTATCAGAAGTTTATTCACAAGTGACGATCTAGTGATGAATCCGTTGTAAATAAAAGTCAGCTGAAATCTAAAAGATCAATAAAAATGAAAAACACTACTTTAATTTCTACAAAAATCACTCCTAATATGTGAATAAGAGACATAGATAAGAAATCCTTACTGTAAAGTGGCTTAAATTGGTTGAAATAAGGTGGTATAAAAGTTTAATACATGTATTATCATTTATCATACTGTTATTGAGCAGTGCGTAGGTAGTTGAGGGATTAGGGGATTAGATATACGACCTCCAAAACTTCAATACTACTTAACGAAGTCTTGAAACATCAAACAAATTACGTTCATAGAAAGTCAATAAGAATACCAAATGGAGAACTATTTTCAGCCACATGACATTTGGGTCCACACTCCCACAAGAAAAACGTATACGGTAGTTATTACACCTCAAAATTGAATTCTATACTACCAAATAAAGAAGGAATTTCTACATTTTGAACACCATCACCATCACCAAAGGTCTAATGTTTTGTATATAGTGGGGCATGTCCCAAGTAGTCAAGTAAACCCTGTACATGACTGGTAAATCTTGTTCTCAGCTTTCTTTGCTCCCAGTCAAATAGAAGCAATAATGCATTGCATTGTCTATAAAGCAGTAGGGCCCTTTCCTCCACTGGATAAGGACACTTCCAAGTTTTAACAACTCCCGCCTTCTTTCACATTCATCCATAAGAGTCTACTGCTCCTGGAATCAGTGGCTAAATAATCTCCTCTCTCCAAACCAAATATGAATCAGACAATTGCCCTGTCAAGTGTGAGCCTCCACAACAAACAAGCCCATAAAAGAAAAAGAAAAGAACAGATTGCACTTAAGATTAGAATTTCATGGGAACTATAACTCTGTACCCTTTCAAGGACTTTAGAGTATTCCTATTACACCTTTATATAGGACAAGCAATGGAAATAACTGTTTGAAACAAAAAAAATCAAAGAAAAGGTTAATATAAGCAATCAAATTCAGGTGGAATTAGAGCTCTTCACCTTAAAGAAGGAAAAAGAATTCCTAGACAGTGGAAATACATATCCCAGTTCAACTCAAAACTAAATATAAGACACATTCAGATCCTGCAAACTGTTAACACTAACATATCCCAATGATAGTCTCCAAGACCAAAGTACTCAATACAATATGCTGGCCAACATGGCATAATACAGAAAATCTGACTAACTAAATAGTTAGCTGATTTGAGCGTGAGAAATTTACACAAGATGAACCCACCTCTTGTATCAAGGCCTAGCTCTCTTGTTGCTGCAGGAGGGACACTTGTACTGTTTGATGTGCTCAGCCCTGGCCGGAGTGATTTTCACACATTTTCCATGAAACCATTTCTCACATATGTCACAACAAATCCAGAACTCATCTGCCGCATAGTTCTCTCCGCATGCCCCACATAAGGTATCTCCATGCTCTTCCTCGTCCTCCTCATCCAATCCCCCCTCCTCCTCCTCCTCCTTTGGCTGTACAATCTTTGACAATTTGCCAGATTCAGAAGACCGCTGTAGTCGTGTTCATCAAAGAAATAACAATGCAACAAAGATATGAGAACATGATGACACATCAATGAAAGAGCACTTAATATACAGCTAAATATGCATTACTTACTAAACCCACTTAAGCTTGCTTTACTAGGTTAATTGTCTATACCCATGTTCCTTCATAGTTGAATATTAGATCTATTAACTGGCATAAAATTAGATCTGCAGATGACTATCCTAGCATCTAGGATAACTTATGAGACCTGAAGATCTAAAGTATACTGCTAGATCTTAGTATGGGAATGTGAGAAGATCTTGTGGATAACTATAAATCTGGCACCACAACAATGGAAAAGAAATGTCCATATAAACTACTTAACAATTATAACACAGCACCACATCTGTCAATAATACTAATATGTCCAATTGAACAGTAAAATTCTGTGAGGATCTTGGATGTCTTTCTTAAATAAAAAGGCAAAGCTGTATTTCTTTCACAAATGAAGTTATTTTGTAAATTTCTAGTGCAATCCAAGTTAAATGTATTTGTTTACAATGCATGAACCACCTTATTACATTCATCTCTCCTAAAACAAAAGGTATAATGACACTTTTGAATCAATGGGCGCTAAATGAACCCAGTCAAGCACAATTCTCAAATTAACCCTCAAAGGAAATCAGAATTGTCTGTTAGAAACCAATATAAGAGTAACAATAGCAGAAAAAGAAAGCCGTTTCCAACACTAATACCAAAAACAATTGGAACCTAAGAGGAAACAGGCAAAAGATGGGTTCCTAAACTTGGTCCCAGAAAGCATATTCATGTGATATATACACAATAGATAAAATAATAAAAAATGCATGCAACAAATAATTATCTTCATGATTATATCAAAACATTGCCATAAGATACACACTTTACCCAGTCTATCTAGAGGTATAGACCAGCCATTTTCCATTATTAATAATTGTGGCCAGCCCAAGACTCAAGCCCAGACTCATGCCCTTGTCGGTCTAAGATGTTCACAACAAAACCATGTAATGGCCGGTTGATCAGGTTATTCAACTATGGTCAAACATCTTAAATTCCTCTCAATCCAATAATCATTGGCCAAAAATGATAAAACCATGAAACATCAAAACTTGATACTATATAACAAATATTCCACATTTGTTTTACTTGAACTTAAAAGAGGGAGGAAAACTTTGCGTAATTTACCCCTTTTGAGCTTGACTTGGATTTGTTGCTGCTGTGATTTGAAACTGCTGACTTCTCCTTAGCCTGTTTCTTTGCACTTCCAGTCACAACCTCAAAAATTGTTGGAAGATCATTAATCATAGCAAAGAGACGTTTCCTGCAATAACAATTGCATCTTATCGCTAGATGACTGGACACTATAATACAAATCATTGACATTAAACTACCATATGTTGCCTTAATTCATAATAGCCAACAAATTAGCGCTTAACAAAATTTACACAAAATACAACAGATATGATGTGAAAATAAAGAACCCAACTATGCAACTCTTATCAGTGTGTCTTCTCAATATAACCAAAATGAAATGTTAAACGTAAGCAATTTGATACAGTTTACAAGTTTTCATCCATTGCTTGCAACTTAATTTGGGGAAAAAGAAAAAAACTGAAAAAAGATGAAGTATTAATTTCATAGGAGCTGAAGTCCAAAATCAAAGAGACAAACTACAAATATACTTTGATAAAAAAACCAATAGTTTTAAGCAAAGAGTACAAATTAATTAATACGATTTGACAGTCCAAAATTGAAAATTTTGTTGTGAAAAAAACTAATCACTGCCAGATAGTTTGGTTTCACTGATAGATTTCTACTTGTACTATACATTGTTACCACATAAAATATAAAATAATGACAAAAATTATACTTTCTACAAGCAATTAACTAAAAGACATTTTTCGCTATCAAACTTTTCTCATTTATTAAATTTAGACAAAGTAAATGAGTTCCACGGTTTGCACTTTAAATCCAAAAATAATAAAACTGTCTCTAACTTTCACAATTTTATTGAATTTAAACCATAACATATTAAAACAAAATCATTATGCATGAAGACATGGTTCTAATTTATATAAAATTTAAAAATGATTTGAGACCATAATATAGAAAAGGGTAGGGAAATAGAGATGTTTAGTTGTATACCTGTCAGCTTTGTCAAAACCAAATCTGGCACCAAAATAGAAAGCCACAGCAAGTAGCCATGCATCACTGTGAACAGCAACCAGAGACAACCAGTCCTTTTCCTGCATCCCATCTCTCGCAAAGTTAATACCTAATGCAGGCTCTGGAAGCTCAGGAGGCACTTCTTCAGCAGGTAAATTCACTTCCCATTGTTCATTTGGGTATCCATAAAGGCAAAGGTTCTCCTTCTCTGAAAGGTATAATATTGAGTCAGGTACAATGTTATCACTTATCAAAACACAAAGAGCAGGTATGGAACTCCTCCATGCAAATTGAAATCTCACTAACAATCTAACAACTTCCAGAAAAAAAAAAAATCCACACACAAAAAATGAAGAATTGCACATAAATAGACCTTGGCAGTTAGTGCCCCAAGATTTCTTAAGACTCGTAGAAACATGTAACTGACAGTAAATATAAACAATTATCAGCATGAACTTATTGGCATAACAATATTATCACCCTGATGATCAAGAATCAGCTTTTAATAAATGGACTATGTTCATAAAGCAATATGTTAAAACAATGTGGTCACGTATTTCACTGGGGAAAAAAAATATGAGAAGAAACATTACTAAAGAAACACATATAATACATCAATAAACATTTAAGCCTTTCAGTTCGTTTCTATTTCAATAGATAAAAGGATGTAAGTCCAGAAGATTACAAAGATGTACCAAAATGTGGACAAAATGCAACTGACCCACACAAGCAAACAATTTTAACTTTCATTAATTATCGTGTTTGGGCAATTTCGTGGTGTCAAAATGCTAAAACCCTTATGATTCTCATGTTTAAACATCTTAGTATTAGGTTTAAAAGACTGAAGCCAGATGGAATCCAATATGAACCTGTTTGACAAGTATAATTCTCATGTTATGAAATACAACTCTCAAAACTAAACAAAAACCTAGCAAAACACACAAACACACGCACACACGCAAAAAAAAAAAAAAATATGAATTTTTTTATTAAGCATGAGAAATGAATAAAGCGATAAGAAGAAGAAGAAACTTTAGTACAAACATAAAACAAGCAAGTAGTCACAACACATTGCAATTCTAACAGTTAAGATAACCACACACAGGTAAAAAGCAGTTAAACATATTTACGGAAAAGGAGGTTCATGAAAGGAGTTCAAAACAGAAACTCTAACCAGGATCGCACTGCTGATAAAATTCTTCAACATCTGAAACAGAAAATTCAATAAAAGTTGAGCATTAGAACGTGAAAAAAACAAGAAAAACCCTAAAAAGTAAAAACTCACTACGCTAAAATCGAAATTAAGAAAAAAAAAAAAAAAAAGGAAATAAGAAGACAAAACGAACCGGAGGTTAGAGCCTTAATCATGCCGGCCCTACGGCCCTTAAAATCTCTGAAGACCTCTTCCACTGTTCTCGGATTGTACTGTGCTCCTCCGTCCATCTCCCTACAGTTACACTTCAACACTCCAAAATTAGAGATAAATTAAATACGCAGATTGATGAACAAAAAGAGAGGTAGTGGATATTATCGGAAATTTAATAGTTGTTTAAAGGGTAGAACAGAAAACAGACATTTCAGTAGCAGCAGACAGAGACAGAGAGATTGGTTGGTGTTTTTTTTTTCAATTAATAAATTATTTTACAAAAATAAAAATTAAAACTTATAATAGAGTCAATTAGTTAGTACAGAAGCGAGAAGACATTTTATCTGACGTGGATGATAAAGACCCTTATATCCAGGTGGCGTCCATCCTTTGGTTTTGATTCTTAGCCAAGTAGAACCACCTGCAACGGATTTGAATCCGTCACTCAACTGGGTTTTAGATATTGGGAGGGTTCCGTAGTTTAGATCACAAAATGTAAAATTGATCACAATTACAAATCTGTGATAGGTCAGATCGGGTACCTTCCGTACACGTGTCTCAGTTTGTTTAACTTTTTGACGCAATGAATCTTTGAGCTGGGCTGGGATTTAGCTCCAGAGTTTTTTTTTTTTTTTTTTTTCACCGACAGAGGGAGCTCAAAGGGGCGCGCAGTGTATTAACCTGCGCACAGGAAGGCTGTTTGAGAATCTACATTGTCTCCGTTTTGGGACATCGATAATGTCAAGAACAACGGAGTACTACGTTGTTCACGATTTGTGCACTTTATATAGGCCTCAGAACTAGCAATACTTTTGGAATGACGAATATGCCACCAATAAGTACCCCGTCCTTGGGACCTTTGTCAAGGGCTTTCCTGTCAAGACAACAATTAGTCCGTTTTACAGTTATTTACTGAAAGAGTAAACGACATATTCCCACCTATGGTTTGACGAAATTACCGGTTAGTACCATTAGTTCCATTTATTTTAGATTCTCACCCTCAAAGTAACAGTGTTATGAATTTTTAGGGCTTAGAGAGTGCAATTACCATAATACCCTTAATCCTAAATTAATAAATTATGTTTTAACCCCTAAATTAGTAGAATTACAAAACTTACCATTTTATTTTCAAATTATATCAAAAACACCTTTAGTCACTATACACCCTCGCCGGAAACAGCCCGATCTGGGCTGTTTCTGACGACGTCGAACTCCCTGGTCACCTCCATCACCTTCCCCGTAGTCTGTCATCCAAAACCCCTTTGGTTCCCAACTCATTTGCCCCTCCAATTGCCGGCACTGTTAGGCTTAGGGTTTCGGTGTTCTTCACCAGATTCCGATCGATTCCGACAACGAAAATCCAATTGGACACCACCAATGCAACCACCGTCCCCAAATCTATAAAACCCCTTATGTCCCCAACAACCGTTTCGTCGTCATTCATCGGCCGAGAGTTCGTGTTCATTGGCCATTTTTCGTTGCCGTGGCCAAAGATCGACGAGTGATGAGGGGTTGTGAATGGTATGGTTTTGTAGAGGGGAGGATGGGGGTTCAAATAGTGATGACAAGGGTGATTTTGGGTGGAAGAATCACTGGAAAAGAGCGAAAAACATTGGGAACGACGACTGCTAATGTGCGTCGGAGGACTGTTAGAGGCGGTGGTCTGCTAACGTGCACCGCCCATGTAAAATGACCAATTTACCCCTTTACCGTTACATCAAACATTTTTCTGTCACTTTAAGGGTAGGAATCTGGAATAAATGAAACTAATGATACTAACTAGGAATTTCGTCAAACCTTGGGTGGGAATATGTCGTTTACTCTTACTGAAATGCACTTCAGAATTGAAGGCTTTATGTCTTGATGTGAGCCAACCCAACAAACAAATTTTCTTCTCTATCAAATTTATCATATCCTTCATTTTTATTTTTATTTTAACAATTTTATCCTTAATGAAAAATATTAAAAGTGACATAATAATTTCTAAATACACTCATATTCTATTTCATATTTTTCTTTTAATTTTTACTTTAATTCTTAATCATAAACTCTGACTCTAAATCATTATATTATTTTTTTATTTCAAATATTTCTATGTAATAAAAATATATCCCTAAACCTATAGAGAAAATAATCACACAATCGTGTGAATCAAAATCTGAAGAAGGAAAAACAAGTTTTGAATTTGAAATTGGGAAAAAAAGGTTATAAACAAAAAAAACATAATTAAGAAATTTAAGAACCCTAATTAAGTTTCAAAATGAGGAGAAGTGGTGTAAACAAAAACCCTAATTAAGTTGAAATTAAATAAAAGAGATGCAAACAAAAACCTTCATCAAACAAGATTATTTTTATATTAAATGAGGTTTAAAGAGACACCTTTTGAATATAGTAAAAGGCTAGATCAATTTGATAAAGGCTAAAAAGTAAAAATCACTTCTTAACAATTCAACATACAAAATAATGAAATATCAACTTTAATTAAGACAATTTCCTGCAATTTTTTTATTCAAGTCCAACTTTTTTTTTTTTTTTTTCTGAAAATTTATTGCAGAAATCCAACTTTTTTTTTTTGGCCAAAAATGGGAAATCAAATTTTGAGTAGATTCAATTTGATACCCTCGCAAATTATATGCGAAAAAGGAAAATTTAAAAAGATAACCACTGGTAATTCCATTATCTCAGTCTGACGGTAGTCACCTTCTTCAAAACAAATTGAATACTAAACAAAAGCTGGCTGTTCAAACAAGATGGACCTCAGTGCTTACTAATTAAATCACTTAAAAGAGTAAAATCAGCAAAACTTCAAAGACCAAAAATTTTAAGTATGTCCAGGAAACAGTTATCATATCGGATCCGGGTAATGATATAATCATATAAACAGTCTTGTCTACACATCAATACAACAAAACTATCTAGCATCTGCATTTTCAAAGACTTCTTATTTCATACAATGAATTGGTCAGAAGAGATTAAGTATTCAGTGTATATGTCAAAGTCATACAGTATACGAAAGAGCATTCACATCGTTCTGGCGTCTACTGGAGTTCGTTAAACCAACAACTCCTCATAGTGTGCTTTTAACAGCTGCAACTTCAAGAAAAGGGAGAAACAATTTGAGGTCCTGGTCTGAGCCAACTAATAAATCTCAAAAACTTTACATGCACAACAGTCACCTTCCCTCGAAACCTGAAAGCACCATGAAATAAACATCAAAAAGTGATTATGGGATGTCTGAATAATAAGTCTTGGCCCTTGTGGGCACTGTAAAAATTAAAGACATGTTTGGCACAAAGCAAAGTTATAAATTGCAGGCAGTGTCTTCATGATAGCAAATTGAACTACTGAAGTCGTTAGAAGTAAGAAAAGCAATAAACTGCAGGCAATTTAGGGTTTCGGTATAACTAAGCACTGGAGAAACATAGCTGACTTAAATTTGGTGAGGATAAGAAACCTTACCTCTCCAGGTTCAGAGGCAGAGAAAGCATTTTATAATGATGAAAAAGACTTCTTTCCAGAATTTAACATAACTAGATTCCCCTCAAATGGATCATCAACTTAAGGCCTTAACAGAACATATTTGGTGAGAAAAAAACAGTCTGAGGCCAAAAATAATTCAATGAATTTCCTTATTCCTTGTCCTTTTTCATATCATATCAGTAAAATTGTTACTTCACCCCCAATTTGGTGGTTGATGTGGTTTGCAACACTAAGACTAAAGATGATTCAGGGAAGAAAGAATACCTGTATAATTGCTTGATGCTTCAGTTTCTCTTTTCTCAGAAACATGTTGATCAAGGAACTGCTGTATCGTTCTCCAGTAGTGATCACCACCAGACAGCCAAGTGTCCATATGCATGCCACTAGGAAATTCCACAAACTTGCACTGATTATTACGAGCAGCTGCTTTAGCATACAGCATTTGCATATGAGATGGTGGAACCATCTCGTCTTGCAATCCAGAGAGAAAAAGAATCGGCTGCTTAATCTGTAGTGGATAAGTCCAATTTAGAAGTCATGAAGAACCTTTCGAAATCTTGTAAACAAAGTGAAGCAAAGATCAAGGAACAGCAGAAAAAGGTGAGAATCAACACCCTGCATTGTTTAAAATTTACTAGATGATGCAAACAAAATACTGAAAATGGGTTCATAACAACAGAAAGTAACACTGCATAACAGCGCAGGCCTTGATAAGTGTGAATTTCAGTATTTCACAGAGCTAATACATCTTATGCCCATGTAGATTAGGTTGATAAAATGTCCAACATTCATTAGGATGTTTTTGCATGATATAGTTCCATAGGGGGGGTGATGCAGAGCACGAGCTTGTACTAAATGCCTCACCTCGCCAACAACATCAATCGTACTCCATGGAGAACGTACAAGAAAATTAAGAAGTTTGGGACCTTTTGAACTACTGCCTCCAATAAACCACTTCAAGAAGGGCAGCAGAACTCCAGCCATGTCCAGAATAGATGTAAAAGTGTTTTCCAGTATCAATGCAGAAACCTGCAACACAAAGGAAAACAAAATAGTAATGAGCCCCAAGATAACCCCCATACAAAATATAAGACTTCAAACAACAAGATTTTGGGCAGGAGGATTGTTATGGAGGCACCTAACTAGCTGTGTATACATTTATTCAACAATTGCTTCTTTTTTAGTCTTAGTACACATTAATTGATTATATTGCTAAAAAGATATAGAATTTCTTGATTAAAAAAAAAAAATTCATAAGATTAAATACCACAAAGTATCACGAAGAAGTTTGGGACTTTGTGATGTAAATAAGACACAAGTTAACAGATAAATGAATAAGACTACTGAGATCTGACAGTCAGGGTAAGTGCTTGCTTGGAAATCAATTAAAAAAAAATACTTAAAAATAAAGCTGGCAAAAGAAATGCTATCACAAATAGCTGATATGGACACCAATGCATTACGCTATAATGATCAAGTCAGCCCAACAACTTTGTCCCAACAAAGTAACCCCACTAGGCCTTGCCACTTTATATAGGCCACAATTTTTTCTTTAGCCATGTATTACATACCTTTTCTATCTTATCCCTTCCTCAAACTGTATGCTTTCTAATCTTCTCCTAATGTATGAAGCACATAGACTTAAATCATGCAGCAAAGAAACTGTAAATATAAAAGCTTAGAATTTCTCTTCACTTCTTTAAGCTACTTCCACAAAACATTCAGTCTAGGAGTCACTGACTAGTCAATACCTCAGACATAACACCTACATCCTAATCAAGGAAACCCTAGCCTTTATGTTGAAAAGGCAGTCAAACTTGCAATGAATTACTATGATCAAATTGTAACAATATCTCCATAGTACAACCAGTACAGAATAATGAAGACTTCCCACAACAGATTATGCACCCATGCTGCTGCTTCAGCAGCCAAAGTAAAACCAAAACTTCAACATTATTTTCTTCTATTACTACTCAAGCCAACCCATACAAAAAGATCCGAAAATTCAAGTTTAAACCACCAGATGCAATGGTTCATCAAAAGTAGGGGAAGAAGGAAAAAATCGATACTAAAAGTTCCAACTTTGTTTAATAGTGTTTCAATCACAACTTATACAGAAACTCACTTGAATATGTCAATCAGTTGCCATATGAAATTGAATGCAAAAATCGGTATACAATAGTAGTACTAAAGAGGAAAAAAAAAAAGAATGAAAGAAAAAGAAAATTTGCTTGGACGCCAAAATTGGTAGACAAGTTTGGAATAGTAGTATCATTATCAGAAGAAATAAAAAAATAAAGGGAAGGGGAATGAATATGGTGATACCTTATCAGGATTGTTTTTACTAAGCACAGCACCAACTGCACCTCCAAGTGACCTTCCAAATACAACTATTCTAGATGTGTCAATGTCAGTTCTCTGAGAAAGATGATCCAATGCAGCCTATCAAAGAAAAATATACCAATGGGAACACTGCTAGAATTTAGAACAGTAGAATTCAAAAATCAAACATCTGAATTGATGGAAAAGCACACCTGAGCATCATTTATAATTCCCTGCTGAGAAGGATAGCCATCACTTGCTCCATAACTGTTTATATAAATGAAGCATTAGTGCCAATCCAGCTGGGTGAGCAGCACACAGACTATTTTAGATGCTAAAAACAAAGAAATCCATAGGATTATATTATTATGATAGATGAGTACAAACCCTCGATATGAAAGCATGAACACATTGCAATGCAATCTCTGTATCATTATGCGAACCATTTCAAGACGGTGAGCGATATCTACAGGTCACAGTTAAGTTCACCAACAAGAGAAACAAGATATAGAGACAATATATTGCAAATCAAGTCCATGGGATGCAAATTTAATTTAACAAATATCTAATTCAAAACTCTCCAAAGTATAGTGATAAATATAAGGATACTTCCTGCATTCTCTTGGAAAAACAAAATGGTTGGACCTGCAGAACCAAAAGCTATATATTTTCAGCCTTGAACAGTAGCAAAATTTAACTGTGTTGTATGAGATAACAAAATAAAATAATTTTTATATAAGAACGCTTATTAAAAAAGAACCAACAAGTGTGAGTAAATGCAGAGACAGTAATTTTTACCATACTAATGGTTTTTATTTTCCAGTGGCCTCACGAAAAATTCTTTCAATTTTTACTCTAATGTCCAACAAGATTAAAAAAACTCAAACCAATCAGCCAAACATGTATTTATTACCAAAAAAATCAATCATCATCCAAAGTCCAAATGCATTGTTCCTCATTCCAATACATATCAAAATTAACACCTGTAACATATCACTTTCACGATAAAAAAAAATGGTGACCACATAGAACGGTTAAACTTGAGCAAAAAATTCCCTAGCTAAAGCTTTACTGTTCCTATACTATTCTTCAGACTCAAAACCTAACCACATAAAGGTCAACAACAGCTACTAATCAACTTCCAACCTTTAACTCCAGCTAAAACAGAGCTCAAGTAAATAATTACACAATCTATACAGCAAATATTAAGCACCAAGAATGACAATCAGCAAAAATCACAGAAATCTTACCAACGACATTCTTTCACACGGAATTGAGCCTTAGTCGAATAATTCGGGAGTTTATCTTCTATGATTATAAAGCTCAAACCCAAAGTCCAAATTGCTAAACAAAAAGTAACCAAATCCAAAAAATTTCACCTCAAAACGAAACCCTAACTATTAATCATCAAATTAAAAAAAAAAAAATTGTACAAAAAAGAAAAAGCAAAAACGAATCGGGTTACAAAAATTGGGATCGGACCTCGGCAATCGGGAAAGAACTTGATGAACCAGGCATGGAGACGAATGCCATCGGAGGATCGAAGCCAGACGTCCTCGTAAATAAGTCGGAGTCGGGCGGGTGTAATCGGGTAGGATTTAGTGAGACCAGGAAGAACCGGGACGTAAACAAGCTTCTCTTGGAAAGCGACCAACAGTGCCATCCCGGCCATCACTATGCCTCCCATTCCGTACAACAATGCACTCACGTAGGAGACCATTGCTGTCGTTTTTAGGTTTCTGATTTTCTTTTTTTATCTCTTTTCTGTAGGTATGTAATTTAGTGTTGCCTGTACTCTGTAGTACTTTATATTTTCAACTGTTTTGAGTTCTTGAATCTTGACTTGGTTAAACCAAGTACCGGGAGCTCTAAACGATACGAGAAATGTCCACATTTTGTATGGGTCCGGGTAAGCCATTACCTTTTTTTTTTTTTAAATGATTGGTGCGATCGGATTAGCTTAAGCAAACCCAACTAATCCTCACCTAATCCTTACCAGAGCTATTGATCAAACAAGCATTCAAGTGTTATCTCTATTAATATTTGATAAAAGACTCAAACTTAAAAATTTTTTATTAATATATTTAAAAATTTCTATCAAACCACTCGATTATTCAGACATATAGCTTTATTACTTTATTTATTTTTTATTTTTTTATTTTAATATATAAAAAACTTTACAAAATTTCAGTTTTCCACCAAAATTCATGATAAACAGCATATAAATTACTTCATCTTATACAGAAGTGTTTGTCTGAACTTATGAAAATTAACTTATAAGCAGCTAGTTTTTATAAGTTTATTTGAGCTTATAAGTATTTAAAATTTAAACAGTTACATATTTGGTTAAAGTACTTATAAGTGATTGATAAGTAGTTGACGCATTTGGTAAAATGTGACTTATAAGTATATTTTATTATTAAAATGACTAAAATTGTACTATAGTAACATGACCTTTATAAAATATAAAAATAAAGGTATATTATGGAATTTTAAAATTAAATAGAGATAATGTGATAATATACTTGATCAAACTAACTTATAAGTAGAGTTCTTATAAGATAAAAAAAGATACATTTCCCCAACTTATTTTGTTGGCTTATAAAAGTATCTTCAATTGTGCTTTTAATTTAAAAAGCATATTTCACATAAATAAATAACATCTTCATTAATTTATAAATATAAATAACAAAATTTGTATTCAAATCCAATAGACTCTTTAAATTAGACTTAATAAATAGGAGAGAGAATTGATAATAAAAAGCATAAAAACTTGTAATTTATTAAATAAAATTGGGATAAAGAGTGAAATTTGACACTATAGATATAGAGAGTCAAACTCATTCTTTAATTTATAATTAAAGAATAAAAAGTCTATTGCACTTATGTTTTTATGGACAAATTCTTTATAATAAAGAATTTGAATCATATAAAAAATCATTTGAAGATGCTATAAGCCCAACTTATAAGTCAAAAAAAGTTACAGTAAAACCTCTCTATAGTCATAATGATGAGACTAATTGATTTTATTACTATAAGAAGGTTATAATTTAATAGATGTGTAGTTACAAAAATTTCTTATTTTATAATTCATGTTTTAGTAGTACACTATTAGAATTTCAATTCATGTTTTAATAATATTAGAATTTCAATTCAACACTTCAATTACCTACTTTTTAAACGAATAGAATATCATGTCTTAGAATTAGCAAAGATAAGTGTCCTTGATGAAATTGCAAATACAGTTGCTGCATGACTAAATTGATGTGAAACCACATACAATTGTCAAATGTTTTAAGCATTACAAAATTAGAATCCCTGATGTCGATGAATTGCAAGTTATAAATAAAGTGGATGAGAAGAATCAAAGAATCATTGTAGAATTGAGTGATCAGATTTGATAATTTTTTTACACTAATCGAATAGATATTAATGTCTTCCTCAACCATTCAAATGAGCAACAAGTGATATATGTTTTAACTGAAGAAGAAATCATTGTTACAATTACACAAGAAGAGAAAGGAAATAATAATGAGGATGATAGTACGGAAATACAAAAAGTTTTGTGACAAGAAGCTCAAAACATGCTTGAGAAGCTATAAATATTTTGGCTTCAATAAGAAAATGTACATGCTAGTGAGTAATGTATTCGCAAGTTAAAAGACGTGCTAACAACTTTAAAACATAAATCATTCTCTCAAACAACTGTAGAGAAATATTTTATTTCATTCTAAACTTTTAATGTAACAAATAATATATTTTTTTGTAATATACACATAATTATTACTATGTGGATGCAACTTTCCTTAAGACGGAAATTAGAAAAAATATAACTTATTATAATGTAGAGTTTATTCTTATTTATAAATATCCCAAGTTGGAAATAAAATTTTTTATGACTATATAAAGTTTATTCTTATATAAAGTATTATTATAAATATATTTTACTGTATAAATAAATATATTAATTTAATTTTAGAGCTTATAAATTAGTTTTAGAAAAACACCAAATAAATAATGTCATCAAATTGGATACAAAGAGGTCCTGCTTAATAAGAAGGTAATTGAAATTGTTGCGATATTGTTGTGGTTGTGCATCTTGCCAAAAGAATATTATTAATTTAAACAATAAATAATCTTATTTTTCTCTTTGTCCAATAAATTAATTAAAAATTGGTCGCGATTAATATATTATTTAGCATCCTGAAAGATTTTACCTGATTATAAGCAATATCTGGCCTCATCATCTTTAGCTAGATTCTCCCAGTTATTATATAGTAAACGGCTTTTTGGCAACTGAACAATTGCTTAACGACAATTTTTTCACCTTTAAAATATTATTTTATTATTTAAATTTATATTATATTTTTAATTTTCACCGATTCCACGTTATGATCACTCTCTACCCCAATTATCATTCACTAAAACCCCTTATACCCTACTCTAATCGTCCCCACTAATCACCGACAATTCGATTAAAGTTTACACAGTCGCCTCTCCCAAGTTAAATTCTGATAAATCCCAACCATCAAAATCTAACTTCTCACCACTAAAATCTCATCGACCTCCCTTCTTCAAAAACCCAATTAACCTAGACCAAATTTACTCTCTATTTATCATCAAAATATAAATTTAAATAATAAAATGATATTTTGAAAGTCTGCAAAGAAAAAAAAAAAAACAATCTTTAAACTACCATTTGAGTGGAAAAAGGTCGTTAACTCCTTTAGCATAATACAATTCTATCAAACATATAAAAACTAATCAAAAATCAAAATAGCAAGATACCCATCTCAAAAATGCATAATTTTTTCTTCACTTATTTCCTCGTTTCTAGGCAAACTGAACCATATGGTGACCGATTCACCCAAACAGTACACAAAACGCAAGGACCATTCAATTATAATATTTGTAGAGACTAGCTTGAAAGCTGGGCCAATACAGAAGCACACAATCTCTTTATATTAGAAGACTTGTGAAGAAAATAAACTCAAAATCCTTGTAACGGAATGCAAAATAACAAACACAAACTCTCTTCACAACCGCATTAACATCCTACAACAAATGTAGAAACAGTAGAAGGAAGAGATCCCGGTACATATTATCTCTTTAACATATTTAGTAGATTATAAAAGCCAAGGATGATTTGCCTGCCCGGTGATGTGATCTCACCGAACAACTGAGGCACAGTGCTGCATTCCACTGCACATGAATCTCCCACGGTTTTGGATGGCACTACCCATGTGGGCAGACATGCCAGAGAACCCACGATCAGGCTGCCGCAAAATGACATCACTGTTGGATACACTAGTGACATCTGAGCAGGAGGTTACTGAAGCAACATATCCAACAGTTCCCGAGTGACTTTCAAATTCTGACGTAATGTTCTTTTTGTGGAAGTGGTTGGAGTCTGAAATGCCACTGGCACTATTAATGCTAGTTGAATCAGCCTGTTCGAGCTTCTTAGAGCTGAGAAATCGTCCACCAGATCCCCGAACCCTTTTTACCGCATGAAGATGCCGAGACTCATGGAGATATGGCTGCAAATTATTGAAAAGAATAAAGATGAGTGGATAAAGGCTCTCTATTGAAGAAGGATAGATACACCAATACAACGGGATAATTATCATTACATGCTACTTAAATTATTAATGTTAAAGTTATGTGTATACTGGATTTGTTGTCCCTTCCCTGAAAAAAGTCAGAATTGTCGAACTTCAAACATGACGTTGAGTTTCCAAGAAATTACAGAACTTTAGAGATCTACTCCTCTGTGGTACCAAAACTTCAAAACGAATGCTAACCGAACATACATACCTTTCGAGTTTTGACAAGTTTGTTCTGGGCCTCAAGCTTTGCACGTGACTGTCTTCTTCTCAGTATCCCATGGTACTGTTTTGGATTGACAAAAATGGGCCCATCTTCTGCAGGATCAAGGGGCAGTGGGACCCGTGCTGGTGCTATCCCCACCATCTGGGAGCCTATATGAGGCTGGATCTGATGATTTTTTGCAAAAAATCATCGGTGAAAAGTCATAAAAGGGACATACATAGATCGAAATGAAGCACAAATGAAAAAATATGATCTAAGCTCTATCTTTTGGCTTTCAGACCCATAGTTCAGGAGTACAGTTCAGCCTTAGCATAGATATTAACCCTCCCCACATTTTAATAAGAAGTAGAACTTCTTTTCATGGCATGGTTTTATTGCAAATTAGCATTTACTTTGATCTAATTTCTCTAGATAAAAAACTACTTAGTATGGTTGCATGTGCACACTCAGTAGAACTTACAAGAGCTTGTGGTCCATATGGAGTAAATAACCCACCAAAATAACGATCACCATAAGGATATGGAGTATGAACCTGAAACAGGTGGGAACCATTAGTTTCACAACTGAGCAAACAAGCTGAAATCCAGAAACTACATTCCAACATACCATTGATTGATTATAATCAGCGTGTGGTGGGTTGAACACAACTTCAGAATTGCTCAACAAGAAAAAAGGCTTCATTTGACCTTCCACGCCCTTCCCACAACTTTCATCTTGACCTGAGTGCACGCAAAGACAGAAATTAATTTGATTTAACTCAGCCTAGCTTATTTATCAGGTTAGTTCACGTAGCCACTTTAAGTCCCATATCAAAAATTAAAGCACAGCAAATCAATCCATGTCATCACAAATGGAAATCGTGACAGAAAAGCTATCATGATGAACCATTTTCAAAAAGAACCCAAAAGCAGATAGTATTTTTATTTCTCAAATAATTTATTAATGATATGCTGTACAAAGCTTCTCAACCAATGTTCCACAAGAACTCACAAATGCTGCGCTATAACCAGAGATAGGTACTACTAACTAGGTGGAGATGAAGGGAAAGACAAGAACTAGAAAAACGTAAGCATATGTATTAAGATGATAGAGACATGTCTCTGGAGAAAATATGAACTTTTATGACAAAGAATCAAGGATAATACTCTGCGCTATTTGGGGGAACGATTTACCGACAAAACACATGGAAGCTAAATTTAAAGATCAATACCCCCCTCATCAAACTATGACAAATCAACTTCTCCATATTTCTTCCCATAACTTCTCATTGTAAGAATCAAGTGCAACAAAAAGCAGGCAAGGGGAGAAAGATATACTATTAGTGCATCTACAGGAGCACCAGGCATAAATTATTGCAGAGATATAATGTTTTGTAATTATAGAACCGTGGTTTTGCATTTCTAATATGAAAAACAATATATACCATCAAAAGAGGACATCCTATCATCAGAAGAAATTGAGAAAAAGAAAAGAAGGATTTAAAGCTTCAATGTTTGTGAGCCACTCATGAACGAATCAAACCAAAGACAAAAAGCATGCACATATAAGGTGTAACAAGACAGCACGTTAAAGGTTCCAGGCCTATCAATACCTGCCACTTGATAGTTTCTTTCCCAATTATATATTTTTCTTCTCTTCTCTCTCATTTTGTAGGATGATAGAAACACTCTCATTATAACAACACAAGTGTGACAAGAAAATGTTTTATAATAGCCAATAAAATCATAAATCCAAAAGTATAAGTACCAGATTCTGATGATATGCATCGATCTTGAGAATTCGCCCCTCCTACAGCACTCACTTCAAGGTGAGATTGGCCAATTGATTGAGCTGAAGATGATTCCTGGTCCGCTAGTTGAAGACCTAAATACTTTCCATCATGAAAAAGCTGGGGTGGAGATTCTACTTTCAGACTACTATTCTTGGATAAAGACTGCGAAATTTTCTGTTCACTTGAATTCCACCATGATGGGCAACTAACAGAAAAATGTGGCATAGAACAACCAGAACTTTGATCAAAAATTTTCTTGGTCAAGTCTTGAATTCGAATAGCCATATAGTTCACCAGTTGTACTAAACCTTCATGCAGAAATTCACAAAATCCTTAAGAACCAACAGCTTCGTTTCCCCACTTTGGTTTAGCTACTCAAAGGAAAAGTGAGAAAACCAAAAAAAAAAAAAAAAATTAGCTTTCAATTATACTGGGGAACAAATTATGACACAATCGTAGTGTTCAATATATCTTAAAAAAAAAAAAAAAAAAAAAAGGCAAGAAAGAATCTGCCAAAAAAATCAATATATATATATATTGATTTCACATAATATAATGATACACCATTAACATATCCCAGCAAAATGCAATGAATCTCAATGGCAAAAATAATTAGTTAGTTGACAATCATAAAAATAACAGACACACAATACTTGACTAGCTGAAAGAAATGAATGCAACAGTTTAAATAGGATGAAATATTCACATAATACCAGCACTAAGGCCACCGAAAAGAGGATGTATCTAAAATATAGTGGTGTGACAATGTTCATCTAAGTCATAATAGATGCCAATAACTAGGTTTTTTAAATTGGCTTATATAAATTAGAAAATGATATTTTAGGATGTCAAAACAACATTTTTTTTTTTTTTTTGGTGACCAGGGGTGTTGGGTCAGCTTGCGCGTGTCTCAACAATCCCCCGGGGCTCTAAAGTTGACAGCTGGATAAATCCCCTCAGTGGCACCCCTATTAGCAATTCAAGTAAATCGAATCAGACTTCTTGAGTAATACACCCAAGGTCCTAGTTAACCGTTGGGCCACCCAATGGTGGTTATCCAAACAACATATTGTACACCACAGTATATCACCAAAGCAAATTCATGATATGTGTATATGCCACATGAGCAAACAATCATATGATCATATGAAGTAAGGAAATCATCCCAGCACAAAACCCTAGAAGGGATATCAATATAATTGCCAAACAATTATACCTACATTATAAACTCTAAGGGATGCCTATATCATACAATGCTAGCTCTACTGTCAAAACATCAACAATAATAAAGGAGGCCCAAAAAGGGTTTTAAAAAATAAAAAGAAACAAACACGCAAGTAATAATAGCCTTAGCAAGTGGTGAAACGCTTCACTATTACAGTATGAGAACATTTACACACTACACAATCCCAGAAAACCAGTTTTAATAGTGGGACAAACCATTGATAAAGGAACAGTGATGTTTTCTTTTCTTTTCAATCTCTCTCTCTCTCTCTTTTTTTTTTTTAAAATTAAAACTTAAACCGAAGGACATATTTATTCACTTTACAGAAAAACCAGGTAAAAGCATGTTCTAATAACGGACCAGTAATCCAGTTCGCTTATGAGTCAACAACAGAAAATTTTTCATCTCATGCACTGGTAAAATAAAGCAAGACAAAAACCAGATATACACCAGCTAACCTGATGACTCCATCTCTAACAAGAAATCAACACCAATTTGGGGTCCAATCCTGACTCTTTAGAGCACCAAAAGGATTTATCGATAAATTTTCAAACAAAATACAACTAACCAAGCTGTTTACTTTGATAATAGAGTAAACCCTAGTTCAGAAACAGACACTGACACAAACATAAGTACCCAGCCAATACATTTGTTTACTTAATATAGAGACATAAGGCAGGCTTTTTGTGTAGATGCAAAGTGAAGAACAAATCAAACTCAAACAAACCACCAGCCATATGAACCAGGGAGCCAGAGCCTCGCATCTTATTCAATGCAATGAACCGTTGAAAAGTCATTGACTTTATGAAAATAAAATGAAAAAGCTCACTCACACAAAACTCCAGGCAATAAGTGGGAAAAAAATGCAGTCACAAATTCATTTCAGAAATGGAATTTTGGTAGAGACATGAATTGTTTCAGTGGAAGCTAAAACATCCCAAAAACAGCAAGTACAGAAATTAACAGTTGTAAGTACTTCACCTATCACAAACTCTACTATTTCACACCAACGTAATCTCAAACTGCACAGCATTCAGGAAATAGCCCATAAAACAAACCCACTTGGATTCTACTACCACCCATATCCAAATATAAACAAAACTAGAAAGAAAAAGAGAGAGTGAAAGAAAAGAGAAAGAGAAAGAAAAGAATCAAAAGAGCAAGCCAAGTGAAGCAATAAGAAAAAAAGAAAAAAGAAAAAGAAAGAAAAGAAAGATGATAAGAATGAGAAAAACACAAAGAGAGAGAAGAGAACCTTTGGGATCTGTTGAGACAAGAAGAAGCATAAAACGCAAGTGTTGGGAAGAGCTTGGGCAGTCTCCTTCATGAAACTCTCTCTCTACCCACCAAAACCAAAACAAAACTATCTTCAACTCGTTTTTCTCTCTGTTTCTTGGTTGTGACTGCCTATCTAACTCAATAGTCATTAACTTTTAATAATAATTTCCTCTTAATTTTATATTGATTAAGACAAAAACCACCCACCACCACCACTATACTTTCTTACCTTTCTTCTTTTTGTTTGTGGTTTTTTTTAATAATAACGTCATTTTCTTCTGTGGACCACCCAACACGCCCTTCAACTTTTGGCTTTATCCATAGCCGCCCTTAACTGAATGTGTTTCACATACCCGCGCTCGCCATGTCCACTCGGACAAGTGTCACCTTTCTTTTAAACTTTTTGTTCTATTGGTCCGTACTTTTGGTGACGCGTGAGTAGGAGTTATCAATCGTCAAGGATGTAATAAATTTAGAAAATTTTATGTAAGTTTACCCCTGTTTAATGGATTTATTTCGAAAATACCCTGTCGTCTATTAATGATGTATCATCAGTTCCGATGCGCACAACTGGACAAATGAACTGTATTAATATTTTTAATATTAATTTTTTATATAGTATATCTTTCACTCAATTTTTTTAATAAAAATCAGTTTAATTATTTTGAGATTAAGAAATAAGATTTAAAGGATAATTAATTATTTTTGAATTATTTGGGTGAGAAAGTTAATTGACTTTATAGTGCGTTCCTTTTCTTGTCCTCGTTGGAGTTGTTTAATAGCGTGCTTTGGTCAGACAAGTCATGATTTAACGTGTTTAGGTTTTGAAATTTAATTAAATCCTTGAATTAGGGAGAAAATATAAAGATTAACTATTCTATCATTGTAATTATATAGAATAATATTTCGTCGTACATTATAATTCAAAGGGTTAGTTTGGTAGTTAAAAAATTATTTTATTTATGAGTTTTTGGGTTCAAACTTTGAGACACATACCACAATACTATTAAAATTTACTTAGTTATTCAATTGTAAAATGTTCATCAATCCAAAGATTAATTGAGGTGAAAAAAGAAAAAATATTATTCAATTGTTAGATTATGTGAATTATTAGATATAAAGGTAATATTAACATTATCAATTTTATCTTGATAAATAAATAAACTTTGGGCTATAGAATGTTCAATAGATTTTAGAAATTGATTGAGATCGTGCAAGTTGATCCGGATATCTTGGTTACCCAAAAAAAAAAAACATTCAATTGTCATCATGTGAATTATTAGAAGTAAGGGTAATATAACATCTATCAATCTTATCTTGATAAATAAATAATACTTTAGAATTATAGAATATTTAATAAATTTTAAGGATTGATTAAGATGCGTGCAAGCTAATCTGGATACCTGGTACAAAAAAAAAAAAATAATAATTAATTATCACATCATGTGAATGATTAGAAGTAAGAGTAATTAACATCTATCAATCTTATCTTGATAAATATAATACTTTGAACTTATGAATATTAATGAATTTTAGGATTAAGATGCGTGTAAGTTAATTCAGATATGTTGATTAAAAAAACAAAACAAAAATTTAATTGTCACCTCATGTAAATGATTAAAAAAGAGTAATATATCATCTATCAATTATCTGATAAATAAATAATATTTTAAATTTATAAAATATTTAATAAATTTTAAGAATTATTTGAATTACATGTAAATTATTGATAAAAAAATATATATATTATTCAATTGTGACATCTTTTGAATTATTAGAATTAAGCTTGAATCCTTAATCTTAACTTGGTAAAGATAATAGTTAAACCATCTTTATCACCCAATTTCAGTGTGATTAATAATAATCATCATGTTTCATTAATATTGAATGCGATAGACTTGATCACTTACAACTGCTTGGATTGAATCGAGTTCGGAATATAGATATAACATGGAGGGTAATTAAGTAAATAGGGATACCGAGAATGAATTTGTCGTATTGTGAATGTTGTCCTGTACAAGATAAGAATCAATAGCTTGTTGGAAAAAGTAATCAGATGTTACCCTCACAACAGGACCAAACCTTTTACGAAAGCTACTGTCACAAACAAGTGCCACTTCACTTCACCCCAACTCCTGGGCGGTTCAAAGAATCACGCTTTCAATTAATTTTCTTTTGCATACAATTTACAATTTACGTGTAGTAAAGAAAGCTTACTTGCACCAACCTCAGAGCTGATAGTCATAGATACCCAGTCAATTCTTTTTCACTTTCAGTAAGTAAACTGTAATCATTTTAATAACCAAACAACACTTCATGGGCCTTCTTTACATTTAAGATTCTTGTTTACACCAAAAATATTCAAATATATAACGCCTGTAAAGTGAACGCCAGAATGGCAAATCAAACTCACACATGCTAAAGAATCTTTATATAAATCAAACATACTAAATCTAACAAATAAATGAAATCCAAATTCGAGCCACTTGGACAAGTGAGTGAATGTGCCGGGGATACTGGGAGCCTTGTTTATGTGGCTCCTCAGATACAAATATCATGAATTTGATTCCTATAACAATGAAGACTAGAGATGACTGTACAAATTTTGATGCGGTTGTTCTGCGACTCACTTCCATTTCTCAAATTTTAACACTGCCACCAACAAACATCAAGTAATAGTTCAACATTCATCCGGTGCTTTGAAGCACCGCAGCAGAATATATTATTTTGGTCATCACTGAAAAAAGCAGGGAAAAGTAGGTTTAATGACGAGACAAGCAAGCTACTAAAGAACGATTAAAACTAACAATAATACAACCAAAAAAGCAAATAAGATCCTAGGCTCACTGATAATAAAGTATTGTTAATGGA